GGTCAGCGAAACCCACTAACTGGCATAGATGTTCTCAGATCGAAATCCGATCTGGTCGCGGAACTCCTTTTGAATATACTCGTTACGAACAAAAGCTACGCTAGTTTGGGGAGTACCACCACGACCAAAGCACAGAATGAACTGTCGTGATCTAAAACCAGAATCGATCGGTTCCTTCTCCGAAAACCTCGAGGGACTCCGACGCTCCGGCCCAGCCAGAAAATTGACCTACGGCTCCCGGACGGGACCTATAGTCTTCTCCTCGCACCTTCGGTCAGATCCCCCGAACACATGAATACAGAGAATACAGAGAGCGAATGACAACGGTGTATTTCCGGGGCCTAACATCGCCCGCGCCGATAGCGGTAACAGCATCGCAACTTATCTCACGCTCGGGAACCAGCTAGAATGAATCAAACACAACCAACCCGACTTGACGAAATGGTCAAGCGCTCAGTTAAATATAGAGCTCTATCTTGTCCCGCGAGTCTAGGAAACAACGTCGCAAAGCGTTTTCCAACCTTGCTATCGATTGCAAAAATCACCATAAGACACAGAAAAATACCCACACTTCGTTGTACGCAAACGCACGTACTCACAGACGATTAGTCATTGCTTGCGCCGACGGGAACGTTGATTTTGCTATCAAATGTCCTTCCTGACTAGAAATCCATAGGGAATTGTATGGGTTCCAATCGATCGACCGCTCGATGGTCTCTCGCTCGATCGAGAAACGAGATCTGCTGAGGAAATCCATCAATGTCCCGCAATTAAGAAACCAATGCGAATAATTATGAATGTCTCTGGCTAACCGATTGCGTACGCCAAAATAGTGAATGGCTCTCAGCGGTTAGACAGGACAACTTCATTCTGCTCCGGCGTGGACCGTTCAGCAGATGCTTCTGATTGGGCACTTCAGTCTAGCCGGCTCGTCAGAAGTCGAGGTGCTCGATCGCAGCCCACGACAATGCAGAGCGATCCCAGCGTTGGGATATCGTAGCTTCAGATGTTTTCATTTTACGGGCGCATTTTCAACCGCCGAACTCTACCTGAATCGACAGGGAACGGCGGATACCGAATCGACGGTAGAAATGGAACGAGAAGATAACGGTATCTTATTAATGAGCGCTGTCTCTTCTGGCGAAGGACGAGATCCCAATGTCTCAGAAACGAAGTCCTGAAAAGCAGCTGATCAGTAGAAGGGAAAAGAGCAGCCGGCAAAGGCAGCAACGGTTCGATTCTCCTCAGCGGAGCGAAAATTTCTGCTGAGTGAGATTCCCGACACCAGCTAATGCCTTGAAATTCAATCAAGTTCAATCAGGTACCAGAGCGAGTCCGACGTATACGTGTATATTACACAGCTCGACAGCCAAATCGTTACAAAGAAAGTGATAGCTATTACGGGGTAAACCGGGGGCGCTGAATCCGAATTTCATAACAGTTTTTCTTCATCAGGTCTAGTTTTTCCGAAATTTCAATTTTTCGACTTTTTGCCATTTTTCGTCTTCAAAAAATTCTAGCTCCGCCCCTGAGTGGACTAGATCGATGAAACTTCGGTGGCGGATAGACCTCGGTTGGGGCTACACCTGGCCGAGTTTTGGTGCAATTCGTCGCAGTGGTCTCTGAGCTAGAGCCATCGGAAACTAAAAAAAGAAGAAAAAAGTGGGAGAGGGACCTCTTGAAACGCACTTGACGGAAAAACTAGGACCTTTGAAGCGGTCTGACCTCGACAATTCGATAGAGGAGGCTTTTACGAGCATTTTGAGACCAAGCAGAGCAAAATCGGTCGATCCGTTCAGTTTTTATTCGCAAAAACATTGAAAATTTCAAAACGCCTAAAAGTCGGAATTCGTCTGTGCCGACTTTTAAGCTTCGAATACATAGCCCAGAAGCTCCGTCCCAGGAGCAGACAGAAACTGCTAGCGGGAGTGCTCAACGGGCCGCAGATCCGGCGACTCATGAAGGACCCAAACTTCATCGAATCGATCAACCCGGAGGAAGCCGCCGCCTGGGAATCCTTCGTCTCAGTCGCCACGAACTTCTTGGGGAGCACGAGAGCTTCCAACTACGTGGAGTTGGTGCAGAGACTTGTAGAAAGCTTCCGCATTCTCGGATGTAGAATGAGTATCAAGGTTCATTATCTCCACGCCCACCTTGATCTATTCCCTGAGAATTTAGGGTCAATGAGCGACGAGCAAGGCGAAAGGTTCCATCAAGACATCAGCACCATGGAGGAGCGAGGAGCGATACCAAGGGAGGTGGGATGAGTCTATGATGGCAGACTATTGCTGGAACCTCATGAGGGAAGCCCCATATCGACCACATTCCAGACAATCGCTGACGGCTCGATTTGATGCGGATTGATCGACCTCGCTGATTTTACGGAAGATTCCAACGGCCCAACGGTCGAAGCTTCTGCTTAAAAGCCGGAACAGACGAATGCCGACTTTTAGGCGTTTTCAAATTTTCAATGTTTTTTGCGAATAAAAACTGAATGGATCGACCGATTTTGCTCTGCTTGGTCTCAAAATGCTCGTAGAAGCCTCCTCTATCGAATTGTCGAGGTCAGACCGCTTCAAAGGTCCTAGTTTTTCCGTCAAGTGCGTTTTAAGAGGTCCCTCTCCCACTTTTTTCTTATTTTTTTTAGTTTCCGATGGCTCTAGCTCAGAGACCACTGCGACGAATTGCACCAAAACTCGGCCAGGTGTAGCCCCAACCGAGGTCTATCCGCCACCAAAGTTTCATCGATCTAGTCCACTCAGGGGCGGAGCTAGAATTTTTTGAAGACGAAAAATGGCAAAAAATCGAAAAAGTGAAATTTCGGAAAAACTGGACCTGATGGAGAAAATCTGTTAAGAAATTCGGATTCAGCGCCCCCGGTTTACCCCGAAATAGCTTTCACTTTCTTTGTAACGCGAAAAAAGTTTTTTTTGTCGAGCTGTGTTATCAACCCGTTACTACATATTTGTTGCCGTCGTTGTGCGTTTGGCTCGTCCTCGATTTGGTTAGTTCAACACTCAGGACCGCCTACAGCACCCCCACGAGCTCATCGAAGATCAGTGATTGAAGTTTACATACATATGTCGGGATGCCGGGATTTGTCGGGAGATCTCGACCGAAATCGCCTCGAAAACGCCGGACCAGTGGGAGCCGCAATTGAAATCGAGGACCTAGCTCATCATCCGGGGGCTCGACGAGAAGGCGGAGAGCATGAGAGGGAATTTTTTTCTTCTTTTCGAGACGCCGGAACTCGGGCATCAAATTAGCCGTGAGGTTTCGAAGAAGCATTGCATGCCGGCGAACTTTCTCAGGGATCTTGGGATAAGTCGCGGCTGGACGCCGGCCGTAGTGATCTTCCAATTGTTTCCGACCGATGCCAAAGGACACCAAGGCGACTTCGGTCATCAGGAAGTAGGAAACTTGGAGCGTGGGGACATTTCAGCAGAGCTCGTACTTTAGCCGAGTGCTACTATTAGAGCTTTTTCTGTGTCGTAGTGAATGGGATCCTATTACGGACTCCTAGGTGATCTGCAATCAGTAAAGCATTGAGGGTGTCTATCGCCATCTAATCGCGTGGTCGGCATCGATCGTTTGCCATTCAGCAAATTCTGGTGCGGCTAGACTTGATCAATTTCGGAAGCAGCGCTGCGAGTTGGCTCCTGTCGCTCCGAGTTGGCAGGATGATTCGATTATCTTGTTTCATCACGACATCGTGGACATTCGAGTTATGTCTGGTTCGATTCTCGTGTGGGTTACGCCATGTTTCAGCGAGACGGTCAGAATTGACTGATATCGCCCGACAGGGGTGTACGCGATTTCCTTCTCCCTTCCGCGGGTTTCTTCCCGCACCGCGTTCTTCGCAGAGTGGTCCATCGATACCTGGCGTGGCAGATGCAATACGTTCTCGAAAGGAGCGCTCGGGAGAGATTTCCCGAAGCAATTTTCGTCGACCTTTCCGAGCGAACCAGGTTCAGGGACAAGGCGAACGTTGTTCCGGCAGTCTGGAATTGTCTCTTTTGTGCGCTTGAGCGGGTCTTTCAATTCTCAACGGCTGTTTCAGTGTGCATACTGCACCGGCTCCGTCTGCATACCGCCTTAGTATTCTTAGTGCCAGTTGCAGAAAAGGTCTTCGTTCCCGTAGTGATGTCGAACGGATTATGGCTTAAACATCGGCTCAAATCGGTCTTGATGGATCGAGGAGTCATCGCATGGATCAGACAGAAGCTGACACCTCACAGATATCAGCGGAATCAGACGTAGTCTCCCAAGAATTCCTTTGAACAAACTCGCCACCGAATCAGAACCTAGAACTCTCGCAAATCATCGCGACGCGACTCCACTCAAAAGACTCGTCCCGTCGCTTCTCCAAACGCCGAGCGAACTAGTCTATGTCCACGTGCATGATTTGATTTCTTTCAGAGAAAAATGTCTCGGGGTAGGAGAGTTGCCGTTTCTGGCGATTCGAAAAAGTTCCAGAACCGTAAATTCAAATATGATGAACACTGGAGCATGGGCAAGAAACACGCATACATGGGTGAATGAAGGAATGATTGAATGAACAAACGAGAGAAATTGTATACAACCGTTCCCGCGGCGCTTTATCTCCGATTTATGCTCTTCTGAATCTTCTGAATACGGGCGAGTGAATTCTGGTGGTCGACGTTTTTACGCTGGCCAGCTCCGAGTCTTTGTCGTAGACTTCAGCGGTGGTTAACGGTGTCCGCTCCGTCCGCAGCTGTCCTTGGTGTGCTATTCTTCCGATGCACCGCCGGAGAGTTTCTTCCCTTGTGCTTGCGTGTATGTGTGTGTGTCTTAGTTGCTCACTCTCCCGTTTGACGTCCATTCGTCTGTCTATTCCAAGTTGGCTGGCCAGCCGCTCGCTCGCTCGCTCGCCCGCCCCCCCACCTCACTATCCTAGCCATGCACTCGCTCTCCCGTTTGCCCGCCCTCATCGTACGTCCGGTATAAAAAGTGTTCAGGTAAGCGGAACGTACACCATTAGTTAACATGCGTCCTTTCACCGCAGTGTTCATTGGAGCCGCCCTCGTTGGGTTGGCCGCTGCCGAAGGTGAACTCGGATACGGCGGAGGCTATGGAGGAGGCTACGGAGGCTATGGAGGAGGTTCCTACGGAGGATACGGACACGCCGGTCTCGCCTACGGTCATCACGCACCGACCACCAACGTCGTCGTGAACAAGGTTGCCCGACCCGTCCCGGTCGCTCACCCCGTTCCCCAACCCTACGTGGTGCCCGTTCCCCGAGCTGTGCCCGTCTACAAGAGCGTCCCAGTGCCGAAACCCGTCCCTGTGCCCCAGATCGTGGAGCAATACGTTCCCGTCCACAAGGAAATTCCCGTCCCCAAGGAGGTCCCTGTCCCCTACACCGTTGAAGTGAAGAAGCCCTACCCCGTCCACCACGAGGTTAAGGTTCCCAGGCCGTACATTGTCCACGTGCCCAAGCCCTACATCGTCGAGAAACCCTACCACGTTCAGGTTCCCGTCAAGATCGCCCAGCCCTACGCCGTCCCTGTCCACCGACCCTACGCCGTGCCAGTGAAGAAGGCCTACCCCGTCGACGTTCCCGTCGTTAAGGAGGTTCCTGTCGCCATCCACAAGCCCGTCGCCGTTCCCGTCCACGGCCACTCCGCCTACGCCAACATCGGATACGGTCAGGCTTACGGTCACGGTTACGGTCACGGCTACAAAGCCTAGATGTACATAGGAATCCTTCTGGACAAGACTACGCGGGAGACTTAGGTAAATTCAGGAGAACAAACAACCTTAAGCTCTCAGAAACAAAGACCGAATCTGAGCAGCAACTGCAACATCATCACCAGCGCGGAACATGTGTAAATTTGTAAAGAAGTTCAAGTAAAAATTCCACAACGGCTATTTTCAGAATGTAACACTCAAACATCCGGTCCCTTATTCGATATTATCGCTTGACGCTCTTTCCGGTCCTCATGGACTCTGGGGTCGAAACCTAGAAACAGAATAAGCTCTTTGCGGGGGAAAATTTGGCAGCTGAACTTGAGCGTGGATCGCACTTTTCGCACGCCGCGTACTTCGAGCCGGATCGGTCGAGCTCCTCCGACGGTCACGTTGTCAACCAAGCACTCAGCAGCGGCACAACACTTTTCCTACTTTAGGGATCTCGAACCAACGTGATGTCGATACCGACATCCGGACTCATGATCTACGACCTAGGAGACTGATCGCGAATCAATATCACGCATCCGAACAACCTTTCCCTCCTGCATTCAATTACTTTCGCCACTCCTTGTGCTGGTGAGGATTTCCTTCGAGTGCTTGCGACATCAGACGTCCGGAAGGCGATACGGTCGCTTCCCATCTCGCTCATACAGACTGAGTGTGGTAGATATACTCTCGTCGAGCGGATGCACGACCGCATAGGATAGACGAAAAGAGCATTATTGTTACAGGAAACCGGATATGATTTTTGCTTCTTCTCCCGGTGGGGTTCTAGCAGCTATATTTTGGCGAAGGCAGACCTGAAGGATTGCCTCGAGTCCCTTGGACAGCGATTCCTGACGGGAATCCTCGATTGGAAGCCCGTCAGAGATTCAAACCGCGGACTCTTCGAGGGAAACCTCCGGGAAGGCCATCGCCGACTCACATATTCCGCTACGACTCAAATATCTACCTCCAAATGCGAGGGAAAATCGCTTACAGAGTAGGCAAGCGTACTGCGCCCAAAGCCAAGCGTGATCATTTACCGTCAGCGGTGCCAGATACTGAGCCATCACGTCAGTCGCCTTAAGGTCGCCGACTTTCCGAGTGGCGAGAGTATGTTACTTGGTGTGACATCGTTCCATTTATCTCAGCACGGTGATAGAGGCGATGGAACCAAGAAGGATGGGGTCCGTCGGAACGAGTATCTCTGCGATTCCCATGGGTACGGAGCACCCCTCGATTGAATACGCTCGAAAGTCGAGAATCGCTGCTTCGGGCTTTCAGATAAGGATTCTTCCCCTTGAAACACTTCCACCCCGCGGAACTCATACGCAACTGATTTTCCGCTCATTCCGGTACCTTCGATACGTAGGTAGTTCTTGGCCACAGCACGGCAACGACAGAGAGGACACACTGGAATAACCGCGGTCGCCGCACGGGACCCCGGCAGCCTCTCGGATGCATGAAGAGGCAGAAGATAAGCCGTACAGCTATTCAGCGACCGCATGCAGAAAGTCGAGGTGCGCTCTAAACAGTGACGCATTATAATTTACTCTCCGTGGCCGAGCTGTCCGCGGGCCAAGTTTATGACCACTCAACGTGGCTGGCTTCAGTAAGACGTACAAGTCCCGGTGTAAATGTTTGATGCTAATGTCATGCAAGCAGATCATTGTATTGCTAGAGTATTCAGACCACCGGCTTCCCGCAGCTGTTGCCAGCCACGCATTCTTAATGAAACATGAGCCATATCAACATGATCGTGTTCTGGATTGAGGAATAATGCACGCTGCTCGAAACCATTCGTCTCCCGTGGTTGTTTATGTCTACCGAAACTTTTCAGGGACCTTGAATGTTGAATCCGACCGTAGAACATGAAGTTCAGAAATCATCATCGTCCCGCGTCAAAACGGAAAGTCTACATAGCTCCATGTTGAGATCATCACGTGCGGAGCATGTTCCTTTTGCCTTTTGGGCAAAAAGACGGAAATTCCAGGCAAGTATCACGAAACGATGTCAGCCCCTCTAGACACACGGGAAACGCGCGCGATGGCGTGAAGTATCGTCTCTCGGGGGGTCCTCGAGATCGGATAGGATGCCGTGAGCGACTGAACTGTGAGTCGAATCATACACTGTCGCGTCCTGGACGCCACCCCGACGTCATACGACGGAAAAGACTCGAAGTCGTTTTGTAGCTCCAGATTTTCACCGAGCGATTCGAACCGTCACAGGAGCTCGGGAGAACTTCAGGACAAGAGCGTCCGCTTCTCCAGTGAAGGCATGCTTCGTCTTTCCACTCGCAGAATCTCCGGGGATTGTCCCGTTTCCCGCCGAGCCTGCTCACGTAGGTTCGGCTTTTTTTCCGCACTGCTCGGAAACATGCATGAACAACATTTCCGAATATCCGGCGGGCGAAGCGCGTGCCGGTCTCTTCGGGTCGTTAGGCGATGGTTTTCGGGGTCTGCCCCTGCCCTCGGAATGATCTCTCCGGGAGAGTTCAATTTTTTCTTTCCTTCTCCTTGCGTCGACACTCAAAGCGAAGAAAATGGAAGATTGACCGAAACGATGACGATGACTGACTTGATGCGTGGCTGCTCCACAACCACCCCGCACATTCAGGCGGAAGAAGATTGCGTCGGAGCGAAAAGCAATCCAGTTTCTGGCCGTTGTTCCCGGTATCGCGTGTTCAGCTTTCACCTTCGCCACGAGAGGAACGGGTTCCACAAATCTGACTTTAAAGAGACCTGCGCCCCCCGGAAAAGAGGCAGGGCTAAAAATAGAATCCAATTTCTCACATCATAACGTTACGAACCACGAGAGAGTTCTCCCACTGGCAGAATGACTGAATTCGACTCCGGGAAGAGTGGGAGCATCAAGGGTCCACACCGCGGGGCTCCGAACGGATTTTCAGCTCTGCAGCCGAATCCGATCCCGATCACTTGATCCGTATTCCACCCAGTCCCTGGATTCGGAGAAGTTTTTCCGAGATCGATGTTTACCCGCGCAGTACAGACTCCGAGTCTCACTCAGAGTCGTTCTGTTTCATCAATACTTCACTTGCATCAGCGTCCATCATCGAGCTGCGCAAATGGTTCTCGATCGGCTGCAGTCGCTTCCTCGGGAAGAATTGGATCCTCTAGTGAATAAAGTCGTCGGAGCGTCTGCTCCGAGTGCACACGGGGGGAATGAAAGCAGCACCAGGGCGTTCGTTTTATGATCCCACGAAACGGCTCGAGCTTATTGAGACTACAAGCTCGTAGTGATTCATAAGCACCCCGGAGCATCCTTTATTGCCCACGTTGGACGGACAACGATCCAGGGAATTCCTCGTTCACGATATCTCGAGAGCTCTCATCATAAATACACGCAGGAAGCGACTTTTACACGATTGATGTAGCGAGACTTCATATATGTACCTATGTTCGCTCGTCTCGGATCTCGGCTCTGAGCTCCGGCAATAATTCCCGTTCACAGGTACTGAGCTCGGAATGGACGGAGACCGATCATTTCCAGGCGGACGCTTGCAGCCGCGGAGGCTTTCGATGCGGATCTTGATATCGGATCTGAAGCAAATGGACCGAGCAGAGAACCGACCGAACTGCGCTCACTCGGAGTCTGACTACCTGGGAGAGGTTCTTCGGGGGAAAACGACTCCATGTCTGATGCATCGGGGCCTGCATGGAAACGAAGGAGAAACAAAAGTTTCTGTAGGAGCGGAATCCGGAATCACAACGGACGCAGAGTCGCTCGATGCTGATCCCGATCGCTCATTCCGCATATAGAAGGTACTCGCCGATACTGCTGGCGCCGAGCCGTTCCGATGCGTCGGCGTCCCGTAATGGTCAAGTACGCTGAAACATTTCGACGCAAGAAGTCGAATCTGCGTCGAAAGTTGAATTCCACAGATTCAGCCAAGTGCGATGAAGGCTAGCCCACAATTTGAAGATATTCGCTCGATTTCTGGTCGAGTTTCAATCCGCTACTTCAGGGCCAAGGGCTCGAACAAAAGGGCCCCTTGTCGTTATTGACGATAACCATTTGACTCTTAACACTTATCTCCGATTATAAAATTTATACAGTGAAGGGGAACTTCTCGTTGAGCGGTCCGACTACAGAACACCCACAGGGCGTGATGTCCCCAAGGACGCCGCCCTCGAGGTGAGTTTATAATCACGCATCGCTGATATCCGGAGAGACCGACAGGCCAGCGTTCACTAATAGGCAAGATAAGTTCGTGTAGCCGAACGTACGAGATAGCGCTCTGAGGGAGGACGAAAACACTCTGCATGTTCAAGAGATATCTGATCGATGATAACTGATTTATCGCAAAAGCCAGCTGGTATATCTTCCATGTGTCAACAAACCCCCAATTGTAAGTATTTTCATATACACCATATTAATTAATTACATAATTATTGTACATGATGGTCGCTTGTCGCCATCGTATCTCATGCAAACTCTACGAGTTGGTCGGTTGGATGGTTCCTTCATTCCTCCCTACAGATTTTTCCTCATGAGAGTGTAGGAGAGCTTAGGCCTTAGCCTTCTTGTAGAGCTCGTGGCCGTAGCTTCCTAGACCGCCTCCGAGATCACTGAAACCACCGAATCCACCAGAGTATCCGAAGTCTCCGTGGCCGTGCGAATGGACTGGGACAGCGACGGGCTTCTTAACGGCGTAGGGAATCTCTTTGACGACCGGAACCTCAACGGGGTAGGCCTTCTTCACCGGGACGGGATAGGGCTTGTGGATTGGAACAGTGTAGGGCTGAGGAATCTTGACCTCCACGGGAACGTGGTAGGGTTTGTGGACGACGTAGGGCTTGGGTACGTGCACGATGTAGGGCTTGGGCACCTTCACGATGTGGTGTACCGGGTAGGGTTTCTTGACGGCCACCGGGACTGGCACAGGGACCTCCTTGGGAACAGGGACCTCTTTGTGCACGGGGTAGTACTGATGCACTATATGAGGGACCGGCACCGGTTTCGGGACCGGGACACTCTTGTAGACGGGCACGGCTTTGTGCACGGGCACCACATGGGGTACGGGAACGGGGTGTGGGACGGGATAGGGCTTGTGTACCTTATTCACAACATAGTTGACTTTGGGGGCGTGATGGTATCCGTGTCCGTATCCTCCAAGGTCCCCGTAACCTCCGAGACCACCGTAGCCGTGAGTGGCGGTGGCTACCGCGACGCTGGCGAGCACTAAGAAAGGTTGCATTTCTACAAGAGCCAACTGACAATTGCACTGGCGAAAGCTCACCGGAGCTCCCGTTTTATATCGTCGGCCGTCGAGCTCCGCATTTTGGTGAAGAGAAGGACCCTTATCGACCTTGAGCAGAGTTTTTGCTCTAATCCTAACGCATTTTGCCGCCGCCGCGTCGACGCAGCCGCCGCCGCTGCTCTTGCCAGTACTGTTAGTTGAGTTGAATTGTTATTCTGAAGTGCTTGGCCAGCAATTTTCAGCGGAGTGGCATTACGCCCGACGCTTAGAACAAATTCAAAACCCAGAATAATGGCGTGAACTTTCTGTCAGGTCTTTGTTCCTAGCGCTCCATTTCCGACACAGGTCGTGACTCCGAGGAGAATCGCGAGCGATCAGGAAGTAACGCGAAATTCTCGACATATCTGATCGTTTGCATGGATCGTCCTTAGTCTCCCATGAGCCTCCTCCCAATCCCTGTTTTCCTGGCTCCTCAATCGATGGAGTTCGGAATGGAAGGCGCTCTCGTGAAAACTGAGGATATCCCTCGTGAGATTTTGCGGATTTCGAGACGCGAAAAAGTCATCATGATGACGTCAACCGCTCTCTACCTTTGAATCAGAGATCGAGATGTCGCTCTGCGGACGCCCCCCCCTCCCAATCGAGCTCCTCCCGTTCGAAGATGGCGAACAGCATGCCCACCAAGCTGACTGAGTCATTGATCCCAGAGCCCGACTTAGCGCAATGAAATACTTGTCCTAAAAATCTGATGGTCACTCTTTGATATTCAAGACAAGGACTCGCATCGGGCTCGCACACAGATGGACGGTCGCAACGGCTGCGCGAGGGGCTATTCACATGGCTCAATGCACTAGATTGTAGACGGCAAGCGATCCGATAATGATGATAATACGCAAGTCAATACCGAAAACCAGCTCCAGAAGAATCCTTTGACCAGGCTAAGCTCTGTTTGCCCAGATCAGCTCTTCAGAAAATGCGCAAACGAGAGTCGGAGCTACAATACCGGTCGAACGAGGTTCAACGCATGCATGGAAGTTTGGCCTTTCCATCTTTCTCGCAGTTCTCCGCAGAAACTCGAGACGATCCCACACATCGATGCTGGAGTCCGGCTTCCGGAAGAAAGGCTTTTGGGGAGTTCATCACCGCTCGTGTCTCTCTGGTGACTGGTGGGTACCGTAATGATAATAATGATCTCCATGATAACGTGAGAACATCCATAAGCGCTGGTAGCGATCTCTTAGGGTTTCTGGTGGAATTGTCGCTTGGCTCCTCAGTGAAGCGTTAAGACGCTCGGCCGACGCCTCACGATAATTCGTCGAAAAGATATTCGATTTTCCGCCCCTTCCACCAGAACAAAAGCGGACCGACGCAGCAGAAATCACACAAGTAGAACGGAAAAGCCCCTAGAACTATTCATAGCTCAAGCCGGATGTGAACGGGAAAATTTCAAGGCAGGATAAGTCATACCCCGCGAAAACGCATTCGGACCTACGAGTCATCGCAGCGCAGATTCGCTCCTGTTCTAGTTCACTTCTCTCTTGTCTTCGAACTTCTGTGAAAACCTCAGATCGATGTAACTGTTTTCTCGACACGTTCGAATCGAAAACCAGAACTTTAGGTAATCGGCAGAAGAAAGAAACACTTTTTTTCCTGATGATAATACGCAAGTCAATACCGAAAACCACCGAGGATCAGTTCTCAACGGTATACCAGAAAAGAACGTTCCGAAACTATCGCGAGACCGCCTCAAATTCATTGTATCCCGAGTTTTTTCCGCGGTGCAGACTCCGGTTCTGGATCAGGGTTTATCTATCGATCGGCTAAAAACCGGGTCTTTCAAAAACCTCGTTTCCGCTTTTTGAAATGATCGAGTTTTGACAGTCGCGGAGGAGTCCGCCGACTCCACCATTCACTCTTGAGTGAGCAAGCGAATCAATTCTTCTTTTTCTGCCGTCAAAAGCGCCTGAAGATCCCTCTCGGGCGGGAGGAGCTCTCCCCTTGATTGATGTCGTGATCACTTGAACACCCGCGAGAATTTTTCCCCAACCAGCAGGCTGGCTTTCTCCGATGCGCCTCGAAGACTTTTACAGAACGCCAACCGGCAGTTCCTCTGGGGTTCAATCGTTGACCACTTGATCAGCAAGATGCAGCTCCTGCTGTCTCTGACCAGTGTTATTCTCTGTTGTGGACTCGTTTTCGCCTACGATGAAAGTGAAGAAGACTCCCACAGCTACGAGCACAGCGAGAGCCACTTCGAGAAACATTACTTCAAGCCACCAAAAGTGAAAACGATCGTCAAAACGATACACAAGCCGTTCGCGGTGCCGCATCATGTCCCCGTACCGCATGTGATCGAAATTCAGAAGAAAGTTCCGATCTACAAGAAAGTGCCCGTTTACAAACACATTCCGGTTCCGCATATCGTCAACAAGTACTACACAGTGCACAAAACCGTGAATGTACCGAAATACGTTCCCGTTCCCGTGAAAGTGCCCGTGAAAAAGCCGTTCCCCGTGCCGAAAGTGATCAAAGTGCCGAAGCCATACGTGGTCAACGTGCCGAAACCTTTCATCGTGCACAAACCGTTCGCGGTGCCCGTCGAGGTAAGGATTCCAAAACCGTACGTCGTCACCGTACGCAAACCGTACCCGATGTTTATAAAGAAGCGAATTCCCGTGATCATCCCCGTAATCAGAGAAAAGAAGGTGACCATCAAAAAACCTGTGCCGATCCACATAGAATCGCATGGAAATGAAGAAATTGACTTGCATGGCGCCTTCACTGGTCAACTAGAACAGCAGATGCCTCCACAGAAACAACAGCAACAGCAATCCGATAACGGTTTTCCGTCGAACTTCCTCCAAGGCGAGGAAAATCAGATCACGGCGGAACGGAGAACCGGTCTAGAAACTTTCCTGAGTTGGTTCAGAAGGCATGAGGATAGGTCGTTCAACGGGATCCGGACGACGACGGGACATGGTTTTGTGTAATTCAGGCCGGCAAAAAGTTTCTTGTAGATTATTGCCCAAGAGGATACTATGTTTATTTATATGATTATTTATTTGTTGAATAAATTCATCCGATGGCGCTATCGCGAGCATAGTGTCGCAAACCTCTCGAGTGGGAATGCATCGACTCCTCTATAATTTAATCGTAGGGTCTCCCTAGCAGTCCTTCACACGAAGGAAATCCGTTTTGATCTGGGGAGCTATTCGGGTCAACGTTCCGTCCGGGGTTGGGAAAAAAACCGCAAGCATGAATCCCATCCGAAAAAGAGGGAATGAGGCAGTCTTTTTTCTGAAGGGAATCGTCGGCGCTGTCACACCAGATTCGAAAGAAGTTTTTGGCGAAACCCTTGCCGCTGCACAAGAGACGTGCGCACATCCATCAAGTGCTCACTCACCTTCTCCACGGTTTCGTCGACAAGTCCTCCAACAACATAGATTGCGTCCCGATCCAGGGGGCCCCTCAGACAGAGTTCGGCGTCGGGAGAGAGATAAATAATTTTCCGGATGCTACGTCGTTCGACCACCGCTTCGAATCCTCCCGGATACATCGACAGCTACGAGAAGGGACCAGGACGTCAAGGCATCATTCGAGCCGATATCGGAGGACGGCTGACGACAGCGAATGGACCCTCAGCACCATAATTACGAACCTGATAATTCTCGAAGCCTTGATTCCTTGCAACGCAGTCTCTATACAAGAGCGAGTCTTCCTTGAAGTTGATGAGGTTGAGGTCCAACGGAATCCGCGTCTTTCGGTTGATTCCGTACAGACGTCGAATCTGGGAGGATAATTTCCCCAATTCCTTCTGGTTCATATGATCGCATAAGCCGAGATCCACGCAAACCGCCACGCCACTCTCCAAAGCTCTCGCAAGCCTCTTCCTGGTGAGCTCAATCTCATCCCTCTTCTGAATATGTGCATCTGAAAACCGGCAGCTTAAGATAAGTTGCTCCACACCCGGTCGTGTGGACATTCGATTCAAACACTGTGTGCGTCCAATCCCTCTCTAGAGAATACTTGCGACACACCTCGAGGGACTCCGATCCAGTCCCGCTGTTGCTGCACCCGCTCTTCACGCAAACGCTCTCTACGACGGATTTTTTTCTCCTTCCGTTTTGCTTTTCGAGCAGCCAACGTCCGCTGGTGATGTGCTTCTCTTCTAGACTTCCGCCTGTCCCTGCGGGCCTCTGTCAATGACAGATCGAGATGATTGTCGCTGTCTGTGAAGGAATCAAGGGACTGCGGGAGTTGGTCCCAGTCCCCAGCGGGGCGGACACCGGCAGCCCCAACAGATGAGGCCGGCTCTTGAACTGGATGTCCCGCTGACAGATCATCTCCTCCGATAATTGTTGCGATATGAGGCGTCGGTTTCGAGCCATATTCGAAATGTTCAGCTCCGTCGAGAAAATCGACAATCCCGGTCAATGTTGAGCAGCTTCCAAGCTTAAATTGTGACCGAACGCAGCCGTCGACAATGTGATCCAAGAATTTGAACACATGACTCCGAACGATCCGAATATCAGTCGAGCATTCATGGGCAAGTAGATGGTATTCCCGGAATATGTCCGTGTTGTTGTGATCGACACTCTTCGGGGACAGAGTCGCACTCTGCAGCGAACCGTCTACAGACATCACTCCATATGCGCTCGTTTCCCGGACGCGATCCTCCGCGTCTTCGAACAAATGAACGCTTACGTTGGCAGTTACTGGTATGCTAACCGCATTCACGACCGACCGAATTCGGTCCCGAGGAACCAAATCGCCGTGACGATCTTTCCTGTCGCTTCGTCCATGTATAGCCAATTGCCAGCATACGGAGCGCTCCAGCAATTTGACGTTCTCAGTCTTCATTACGTCATCGAATATCTTAATCTCGCAGAGTACAGGCACCTGAGAAAGACGTACGATTAACTAAAGATGGGATTCGGTCGCGGGGATAACCATGAAGTTTGGGAGAAAGTTCTCTTCAATTGATTCTAAAAGAATTGAGGGAACGTCCACGGTGAGGGAACTTGAGAGGAGAACTTCAGTTTTCGGTAGCGATCCGTGGAAGGATGCCGCTCTAGATCATGTCACGCGATTCAGCGTGTGATCGTGAGGTCATCTGATGTCGAAAAGTCTGATAGGAGTCGGTCTCTATTTCCATACATAGAAATTTTGTGGATGAAGATTGATTTTTCTCTTTAAATAAATGTCTGTTCGATTCCTCAGCTCGATCACCATCGAGCTCTCTGGCTCTCTAAGAATTTCCACTTCAAGCTTCAGGATGAGCAATCCTTCTTGTACCTTTGGGGCTCTTCCGGCCTCTGAAAAGATCTTCGCTATGAGTTGCCATTCGTGTTGAAGGAACGCTCCGTAATTTGCGGTCTCCGCGACAGACTTTGGGAATCCGACATAGAGGTCGACGGCGTCGCATTCGTCCTCGACGGGACGGGCCGCCGCGTCGAAGGTCTCCGGTATATTGGCACGAAACTGTGGCATAGAGATTCGAACATTAATGGGCGACCTCTTCTGCTTCCACGGCCGAAAAGAAAAGAGCGCGAAAACTCTCCGACGCTCTCTGCGGAATACACATTGAATCGGTGACCCTACCGATAGAGGTCGAACTGTTCCTGTCGAGACAGAAGCAAATTCGCCTCGTGCCCAACGATCGCGGACCGTGTACCCTGATATCTATCTGTGCCAATGGATTTCTCGCAGCAATAGAGAGAAGGCGGGGAAAAGTGATTGACCGCTTATCGATAGGCGTATACGCGAACAGAGGAATACTTGATCACACACCCTCCCACCACTGTTTGACTGCCGCCCGCTCGGACGAAGGTCTGCAGCGGTGGTGTGTCAGCTCCACGATACTCGATCCAATGAGCCACAATATCAGAGTTTTGATTTCTTTCTCTCGGCCATGGGCTCCCGTCACGTTTTGTATTATTGTCCCCCGTGATATTGTTGACGGACAAACTTCGTTTTCGAAGTTTCTGAGCTTTTCGTTGACCGTTAGAGCTCCAATCCGACTGTAAGCTTCGAGTGAGCCCTGTGTTCCCGGAAACAAGTGTGTCAGGTCCCATGCCATGAAAAAAATTGATCAAACAATAAGCCGCTGGCTCGATCAAAGGTTTCTCCGGAAGAACTCAGAACACAACTCCACGGGAGCTGCGAGGTTCGCTTCGTGTATTTTCCTCTGCTGATCTATGATCATCAACGGCGGGCCTGATCTCCCTCGCGAACGGAAATCGAACGACGTCAAACCGAGCCGACGACTTATCTCACCGAAGATATCGGCCTGAGGAGGCAGCCTTCACTGCTGAGTTTAAATTCGAAATTGTCGAGTGATCGTCGAATCTTTTGCTCTTGGCTGAAGCTAACACGAATGTTGGCTACGTCATTGACTACGCAAAAGCTGGCAGCAAGAAGCAAGTACGGGGCAAAAAAATAACGCCCCAGAATCGAAACCACCACTATTTGCGCCCGAGTGATTTCGTGGCCAACGGAACATCAAGGGCCCAATCTGCCCCTGAGAGTTTGCTGGAAATGGCATTAGGTAAATCGAAAGTTCTTCCTGGTCTTATCTCAAGATAGCCCCCGTCCTCCCGATTGAAAGGGACTCATGTGTATGGATCCGGCTCAACCCGATTCGGAAGTGCAAAGCTCTTGAGAGCTTCATCGGTCCAACGCCAATTCGCGCGCACTGCGGACGCCGGCTCACAGGAGTAGATCATCTTTCTGAATCGATTCATCCGAAGACATCGAGTCGAGTCAGGCTCCAGTGCAGATTCCCAAAACACGCAGCGAGCTCAACTGTATCAGATCACAAAGAATGAGATCCCGGGAATTCTCTGAGGACGAAATCCTTCATCAACTCTTCAGGATCCATAAACCTCATCAGACGAGTCGTCTACCGGGAGAGCCGGGTACATTTCGTTCTCGTCGTGATGATGGATGAAAAAGCCCAACAAATTGTCCGAGAACGAGTCATTGCCCTCCATTCGTATATTGTTGTCATGCAGAGCAGAGCAACAGGTGCGTTCCGAATACCAAAAAAAGAAAAATAAGTTCCCGAGGAGAAACCTGAGTGAGACAAAATCGAAGACTCACCAGCCTCCCGTCAGAGACAAGCCCCTTCCCTTTCTGGATGCTCCTTTACACCGAGTCGTCGAGATGGCAACCAAACTTCTGGCTTCGAGTAACTTCAGCACTTCTAAGAAAGTGTCTTTCAAGGATAAAACAGATTACGCCCAGATTTGACCCTATGAAGGTCATCCCTTGCGCGCGAAGAAAAATTGGGCTAATTCTGGAAGTTTGATAATTGAAAAGTGAACTTCACGCTTTCCGATTGATGAATGATGGTTAATATATGCGGGGAAAGGTTGTCTGGGATTTTCTGTACGAGCCAGGAATCAGCGGAGAAATTTCTCCCAATTCGTCAGAACTTCGGACTACGCACCGTGATTCGAAATCCGAGGTTTCTGTGAGGTTCGCCAATCGGCGCTTCAGCGCTGGCTTGTTGACTCAGTCTCAAATACTAGGGAGAGAGGGAGCAAACACCTGGACAGTCATGCTACGGTTCGAGCCAGAGGTCTCGAGAGGAGAGAGGAGGCCCGCCCCGCCAAGACATTGACGCTCTGGAGGCAAAATTTCCCGAATGGCCGCATACTGATCTGGGGGACAGGCAGGTCATCTTCGAAGGTCTCCTTGCAGCGTAAGGAAGAATGGTCTCCCTCGGGGATCTAGGCCGCTACTCGCAGCGAGTTCCAAGGATGTTAGAACTCAATCGAGCCTCAATCGATGCCCCTGGTCCGAGAGCTTCTTATTGTTAGACAACCCGTCGGATGTGTCAGCATGTGTGCTGCGAGATGTATGTCAGACCCCGACTCCCAGAATACGGGTAATATCCCACAGCACATTTCGAAGTTCAGAATACGGCTGGCATCGGCGATAATAATTGAGGAAAGTACAGAGGATGACGAGCGATCTGGACTCGTCCGGCCTCTCTGGGGCTAGGCCGGAACGCGGCCTGAGTTTGAGCAAAGTTCCATCAATAAACGCCCAGAATGCGCTAGACTAGAGAATCCTCCGGGCGAACAGAGAGTAGGAGGCCCTCGAGTCTATCGCTCTGGGCTGAAGAGCAGGAGGGCGTGATATCGACCAGCATGCGAGTCCCGAGGGCTTGTATCAGGAAATAGCAGGTTATTCTCCGAGCTCAAAATGAAGTCGTGCTCGAAGAGTTGTTCCATCGCTCGCAAATGTTGAGCTTGCCGGAGGTGCTACGCCGGTTGAGGATGATGGGACCGGAAATCGCACCTCTCAGAACACTGCAGTACCACTCTTCCCAGGCTCCTCGCTACTGGCGAAACTTCTCGTGCAAGTCCGATGTCTGGAGCGGGTCAAAACTCCAGAGCCATTCTTGGCATCTTGAGGAGTCATCCGGGTCTCCGATCGTTCCTTTTTTTACCATTATCAGGCTCGACTATGTCGATGAGGAGCGATGCTCCCGGTAAGATTTGTAGCATTAAACAAGACAATCGAATTGGAAGTCCAGATTCTATAATCTCAGGGAAAAACTTGGGCATCAAAATCCACACCATACGTGCTGAATAATGGTGGATGAGAAAAGCTCTCTACATACCGCGACGTTGGGACCCTCGATGGATTTCCTTGTGCCCGCTTGATTTGCGACGAAGAACTGCGCTTCCAGAAGGACCTCCTGCAGGTCTCTTCTGGCAAGAATGTCTTGAATCCGCGACACACCGAGCATGTGCAGAATGCTCTGGAAATACAAGTTTGAGTTGAGGGGAGCTCTAGAACCACAGACGTGAAGTTCTTATTATGGCACCGCAACGAATCGTAGCTTGAACCAGACCTTACCCGAGCCAGTCCAGTGCTGCTTGCAGCATCGAGGTCTCGGTCTCCGAGGGAGCTCCGGAGTTCATGCACTAGACTCCATAGGTCCGAGGAGCTGACGTCGTCGTCTTGTTTCATGCTAAAAACTACGTTTCCAACACGTTCATAGGTATCAAACACGCACATTCATAAGGGACTTTCGGAGTTTCCGCCTTTTCTCCGAAATCCGAACATTTCGAACGTCGCCCAGCTGCGATAAAAAAAAATTGCGCCCGTCTGGAACCCCGGCATACTTGGCAGCTGTTGACACCCTCTCCCTGCTGTAGCTGCGATATTTACAAATAGAGCATCGTCTGCATTGAAGTAGATGTTTATTCTCTACTCGGTTCCGGTTATGAGACGGAGCTGGACTTTGAATTCGACTCGTAAGATCGGTTGATATAGTACAGCGCAGGGGTCCAGCCTTGAAGGAGACCTATCAGAGATCGCGATACGTCACGCATGATTTCCGTGGAAGTGCCGCCGTCATCGCTGGGTGAGGGTGCGTGTGACCAGGTTGTGCTTTGCGCGCGCGAGACTCTGCGTTTCGCGCAGAGATCGTTCTATCTCCGCGTCACCAGCTGATGCACACAAAATCGAGTAAATGACAAAATGGAGCGGTCAAGCTCACATGTGTGTGAGCAAAACGATTTCTGGAGCCGACGGGTAGGTATATTCGTTGGCGTCGGAATCGGTCCATGCTTTTGAGAATCTCAGACTTCCACCTTGGCTGCCATGAGACAAAGGAGTCAGGGCCTGGCCTTCCAACGGTTCCATGTGTTCTCCGCAGCTGCTGAGCACCTGTGATCGGGGATGGGGGATACGCTGAGCCGCGGAGGGGATTCAGTCCTTCGAGCGTGTCAATCTATAATGACATGCGATTCTCGGTTCATTGATGCGGCTCTCGGTTCTTTTGTGCGAAGGAGCGCTTATCCAGCATTCTGACATCGCGTCCGCTCATCGAAATTGAAGAGCGCAACCATATAACTCAAAGGAAGCGGCAATGTTCTCGGAACCCCGGGACGGAAGCCCCCTGCGAGGTGAGAAGAGGCGGAGGGATGAAGATCTGTCGTATTTCTGCTACAAAAAGACTTCTGAGAGGGAAATGAAAAACGGTCGTCCTTCGCTGAGCGTATATCTATCAATCAAGGATGAGGCATTTCAAGGATCCGACTCTCAGCGCAGCCTCGAGCTTGACCCGCTCGGCAGTTGGTGCGTTCGACGTGTTTCAGCCCAAACATTTCAAGGCTAGAGCACGCCGCAATTATTAATTATGGAATCATGACATCTGCCTAATTCGGGAGTCGTGCACAACGCAAAGCGCTCGAAGAGGGAGCCGTTGCCATCGATCTCGACCAGCTGCATCAGCCCGGGCTCCAAACAGTGAGTCTTCCCTCAGATTGGTTGTAGAAGGAGGAATTCTTAGCCTAGTCGATATCTGACGCTCTGAGAAAAAAACGAATTCAGGTATACATTCACTTGATGAGTGATGGTGGGGGTGAATGGACAACCAGGCGAGCTAGGCTGTACTTAGAACGGCGAATTTGTGGGCGGCGGATTTCCGGTGGAAGGGTAATGTCCCCTCCCGATTCTAGGTGAAGGGATCCCGATCTGATCGGATCAAGCGTGATCGGGACATGAGCGCTGTCCTTCCCCGCGCTACGTGACCTCTCCCAGTCCGAGACTTCCGACACCGAAGAGTCAGTGTCGAATAGGCTTCTGATTCCACGCCACGAGCGCGCCCGTCTGGCATTCATCGTATTCGTCGTATCCAAGGTCCACTGGAGACATCGAGCATGTCTTCTTCATCACCTATCCAACGCAGTAGCTTTCTAAAAGGCCGAGCGAAGGTCCAGATATTCCGATTATCCTCAGATGCTCTCGGAGTCTGGGACTCATCGGGAAGGAGTTCCCCCGCTTCCTCCCAAGAACGGCTGTTCCTCGAGACTATAAAAATTTTCAAAGCTCCTATCTCCGTGTTTTCCTCCGTTTTCTTACCAGGAGCGGAATTTTTTCTCGGTTTCCGGTTCGATGGAAACTCAGGCCTGAGATGCTGCCCGCATCTCTGCATATCTTGCAGGTTTCGGATGAGTGATCGCAGCCAGGGTTCTCGCTCGCTCATAGGTCACCCCGATCGACCATCGGCGCGCGAATAAACCTGGATGCGAGATAATTTCATTGGGGAGACGTTTTATTCATCGACTGAAGCGCAAGGTGCTCTGACCAACTAAATTCATATTCACCAAGGGAATTTTCGATGAAATCTCACAAATATCCCATATCGATCGCTCTCAGGGGCAATTTTACCAGCTTAACAGCCTCTTTCTGAGTGAGCGGGAAGTTTCCTCGAGGAGGGAGCTTTCAGCGACTCAGAGGTACGGTGATGGATTTGGGGAGAGAAAGTTCATGCAGAGGGATTCCAGAGCTGAAAACCTCCTCTTTTGAATGATGAGGAGGGCAGGTGACGATGATCTTTGCCAGATTAGAGATGAGCGATAGAGCGGACCTTGGTGGTGGCTATTTGATCCCGGAGACCCTCATAACTCCGAATCAATTCGCTCCGAGTCTAGATGAGAGCTCTGATTCAGGAAGACTGATACCTCTGGAGAAGGAGAGGGCTCGAGTTTGTTCCCCCCTAAGCGAAGGAATTCGGAATTTCCCCACGTATGCATCCGCCTCTGAAGATCTGCTTATGAGAGCGACAGCCGATTACACCCCACGACGTCGAAGTTACTCAGATCCCATGGGTCGCCCCACGGGTGAAATCACCGTGGTTGAATAGCCTCCTCGATCAAGGTTCCCTCTTTCCATTCGACTCTCGCCGATGGAGCACCCGAAGATCCCTGTCGTCCATATCTTGCTGTCTCCATGGCGAGAGAATTCTAGTCCCGACTTCTCCGATAGGACCGAGCGACAGTCGACCATGCGTGGTTCGTCCCCAGATCAGGCACGATCACGACCGACACCTTGACCATAGTGGAACGTTGGTGTATCGCAGCGGATCAGAATGGACTCGCCGCGGATCACACCCGGATCAGATTGAATGAGACTATGTCCGGCGATCCGAGTGATCCGCGAGTGATGCGACACCTCGACGAGATTCGAATAAGGTGCGCTGCGATCCTCTCCCGGCCGACATGGTCCAGGCACAGTCTACTAGGACATCGGCAGCTTTGGCGTGAATCAGACGCTCTCTGGCGTGAACCTCGTAATGTCGGATGCGTCCGCGATCTCGCTCAGGGACCAAACCGCCTGACCCTGCCCGAACGTCCAGTATGGATCATCGACATCATTCCCTTCACTCTCCCGTCGACAGATTCCATTTTTGTGGAATTTTACCCCGCGTTCTTTCTTAACGCATTTATTTGTGAACTCGCGGTGCAAGTGTACGTAATTATGAACGCACGGGCGACTGCCCAGAAGGACGCAGCATAATCGCAGCAGCGTACCTGCCGAATCCCACCTCTGGAGTGACGGAAAAAGAGGAACCAGTGGCAGCCGTCATCCGAACCAGCGAGAGTCACAACACTAGTCACCTGAACATTTCGTATTTCGACCCGATTCGCTCAACTTTGGCGAGGCGTAATCACTGATTTCCGCCCTCCGAAACCGGCTGGACGCTCTCGACCTAATGACATTGGACTGGAGAAAGGCGAGCGAGCGAAATGGATGCAGAAATGAGCTACTGACTCCAAGTTTTTCATCCGGAGTCGGAGCCTCGATCGAGATCGAGTTGCGCAAGTGAGGTTTCCCCGCGGCGTTCTTTATCAGTGCTCCTCCCGCCCAACGGAGGTCGTTCTTCGTGCGCGGTATGTCATCTGGTGAAGAGCCTCAGCTCCCAACCAAAGACGAGCTCCGTTTGAAACTCCGCGGATTCGGAGACAAACTCCAGGCTGAACATGAGCGCACCACCGGTCCGCAACAGGCTCGCAGCCGGTAAGTGACAGTATTTTAAATGAATGGTGCTCGGATCCCTCATCGTAGAGACTCCGGGGCTCGCCGGGAACTCGGCGGAATATTTCAAAGACCGCCGGCTCTAAATTGAGTGGAGAGGCCGGTTCTTGACAGCAATATCATGTTACGTCACTGCTATCCGCTCTCTCGAAAACACTCTCGGTTGAGCGAAGAGATATTTTCGGCTCCGAGTGGAGCTGTACTTGACTCACATTCATCAGTGTTAGGGAGAAAGAACAGTTACTCTAAGTCTCTGGATGGTTGGCTCTTCGGAAGAGATCTGAAGTTGTTGGACGACTACGAGACAACCTCGAGGACATGAGTCCAGAGCACCTCGACATAGCTTCTGGCTCACGGTTCAGTCTCTATCCTTCTATCGAGTGAATGTATGCCAATCCCTGCGGTGAAGTTCTCATCGGAAGCTTTCGATATTCCAGGACGCGGAGTCGGCCGGGTAACCTTTCGTTTGACGGCTTGACGGGCGCCAATGGATCTCCGATGGCACAACGACCGGTTCAGCGCAATCAGAGCTTGGATCCCGACACCAGACATCTTCCGACGCGCAGAACGAAATCCTACGACGATAAAAGCATTCGACAGAACTCCCGGAAGCTCACCTTCGAAGACGGTTCGCATCGAGAAGAGTTTCACATAGGATTGAGATTGGCAAACGCCTATTTTTCTGCATGTATCCCAGACGGTGGCTACCCAGGAAGCTCGAGGAAGCTGACGCGATCTAGTGTTTCCTTCTCCAGGCGTTTCCTTCACCTCGGTCAGTCCTGATGGGCTCCAAAAGATGGGCGATCTCGGTACCGGAACCTGCGGCCATGTTGTGAAGATGCAGCACATCGAGAGCGGACGTGTGATGGCTGTCAAACAGATGCGGAAATCCGGGAACCTCCAGGAGAACAACCGTATTTACATGGATCTCGAAGTTGTTCTCAGTTGTACCGCTTGTCCGTACATAGTTCGTTGCTACGGATATTTCCTAACGGATAGCGATGTAAGAACTTTCCCCGCCGTCTGACTCAAGCCAGCAGAATATTCGACTTCACATAGTGCATCTACTCTGGGAAGCGAATCGTCTCAAGCCAAATCATATCTATTCCTAGGTTTGGATATGCATGGAGTTGATGGACAGCTGCCTGGAAAAATTACAACGGCGGAGGAAGGCACCCGTGCCCGAGGAAATTCTTGGATATATCAGCGTCTCAGTCCTCAAAGCCTTGGATTACCTGAAGTCGAAGCACAATGTCATTCACAGGGACATCAAACCGAGCAATATACTTCTAGATAGAGAAGGTGAAGCGCTTCAAAATGATTGAAGTCCTCTCGAGGTTTCTCTTGATCTCATGGAAAATATCTCACATCCAGCTATTATCTCTCCAGGGAACATAAAACTCTGCGATTTCGGCATCGCAGGCCGTCTAATTGATTCGAAAGTGACTAGTCGTGACGCCGGCGTGGCCGGTTACATCGCTCCAGAGCGCGTGGATCCGAAACTCGCTGGAAGAGAGTACGACGTCCGAGCAGACGTTTGGTCGCTGGGTGAGTTCTCGTCACCTCTATCGAGCTTGGACATGACCTTTCGATCCGAACCCATGGCTTCGGAAAACAAATCGAGAAGAAATCCGAGTTGATCAGAGTATGACTCTTGATTCTCGCCGCAGGTATAGCACTCGTCGAGCTGGCGATGGGTCAGCACCCGTTCGCTTCCTGTAAAACCGATTTCGAGCTGCTCGTGCAAGTGATGGAGAAAGACCCTCCGCGATTGGAGGAACCGGCATTCTCCCGAAGTTTCTGTAGTTTCGTCTCGTTGTGTCTGACCAAAAATGTACACAAACGCCCGAAATACAAACAATTGCTTCAGGACCCATTCATCAAAACACATGATGTGAGCATCGCGAAAGAGAGAGTGGCAGAGTGGTTCAACAGTGTATCTTAGGGAATTCTCGCCCGAGATACCGACTCCTTGTTATGTCTGGAAGCAAGCAAAAGGTCCGGGCGGAACGATCGTGATCAGGGCCAGAACTAATAGTCAGAGTTTAAACGGAACCAAGGGGAGCAATTCCTGGGTAATCACCCTCGGAAGGCCGCGTGGAATGTCACAGCTCGACCGTGGCGATCTGTTCTACTTCCGACAAAATAATCGTGATCAGGCTCGAAGTCAGTCTCTGCATCGATGCCTCAGGAATCATGGCTACGACTGAGTCCAGCCACCTCCAGGAACGGAAACCAATCGTGAAACCTTGGAAACTGTTCCGCTTGGAGGTATCGCCATGCGAGAGGTTCAACCTGTAGATTATGTGTACCTGGGAGCAAAGATAGATCGGAAAGAAATTCTGTTGTAATCTCGTCCACGGTCCTAAGCACACCTCTGAGCTCTTTGCATTATTCGACCGATTAGCAGGCTATCACCGGAATAGCGCTCCGGAATCTCCAACTCGGACCTTGATCGATGTCTCACCTATTCATGAGGTTGCCATATCTGAAACAGCGCCGTCAACCAGCCATTCGAGTTTACTAAGAACTCCACTCGGTGGGTCTTTTCCGGAAATGACCGTCTCGCTAGGGAAATGGACGGATTCTCCGAAGCTTCGACTGCGCGGAGTCCGCTGTGATCACGAGCATTCAAGAATAATGCGAACAGAAGTCGACGGAAGTCAGCGGAAGCGTAGTGAATCATCATGTACATAAATTAATAATGAATAAAGTCACTCAAATGAACAATATCGCTCATGGAAGTCCACACAGCAGCGCGTGACCTGATTTATCACTGAGGATTCTTCGGGACAGCGGTCCCGACCGCCGTGCGGGGCTCGATCTTGGAGAGAGCACATATTGCGCGGCTATCGTAATCATCGAGATCAACTATGAGTTTCAAGGCTTCATCCACACCTTCTTCTTCCACAACCCGTCGAACTTCGCTCAGTCTCTCAAGTACGATGTCGAATTTCTCTTCCGATCCGATGTCGATCCATCGATGCGCGGATGGCCAGGAGGAGTCCTGGACCGAAGTACATAGCTCCCGTTTCGACCCCTTGAGCAGCTGGAGTTTGTGGTGAATTTCTTCACTGAGATACGGCAAATAAGGCGACGCAATGATCACGAAGGACTCAATAATCGTTTCCAGGACTTGCAATCTCCTGGAGGAGACTGCTGGGGATCTCGATATATCGCTTTTTACGAATTCCTGTGAGATTTAAAGTAGGATCAGTTCAGATCACGCGGAATACAATAACTGGGAGCTTCGCGAGACGCCGAGGCGTCGTCCTCAGTCATCAGATTGACTCAGCCACTCACCAGATACACGTCGCAAAATTGGGAGGTCCAAAACTTCTCAAGCTGGTGAGAGCCATGGTGTATTTCGCTGTAGGACTCCAACGACTGCTCGATGAGTTTCACCGATCTTGAAAATTTACTCAAGACCCATCGATCGGCGATGTCAAGCCTCTGATCGTCGGTGTCCAGCTCCACGGACGAATATCCGGAAGATTTTCTCGCGTTGACAAAGAAACGAACACCTAGGGAAATATCTCCGAATGTTGCGACGAGCCGAAAATAACTCCTGTGGAATGTTACTTGGAGACCGGAAGCCTTCGCGGCGAGGGGCGTCACGCGCCACGTGAACCAACCTTGCCAGATTTTGTTGCAGAAGTTCCTACTTGCGACGGTTTTCCTGACGTCGAAAGGGATGTCTTGACCGGTGGTATCGGTTTTCATCAAAGTGAAACGGAGGGCGTCGGCTCCGCATTGCTTGATGCCGTGAGGAAATAACTGTTTCGTCAGTTTCGTCGCAACCGTCTTCTGCTTGACGTCCAAATACCCCGAGGCGTGGAGATTGTCCGTCTAGAGGAGTTGAGGAACAGCAAGATTGTCAAGATGGAGCGGAAGAACGAAGTCCACCGACGCCCAGACCTCTGGGACCTTCCATGCTCTACATACTGTTTTCTGCAGAGTCTCCAAAGTCACTCCGTCGATGATGTGTCGCGGATCGATGGCGTTCCCGAGGCTTTTGCTCATTTTGCGACCGTTTGCGTCGCGGAGCAGACCGTGTAGAAGGACTTTCTTGAACGGTAGCTGCTGGCAGAGCTCTAGAGACATCATAGCCATTCGAAATACCCACATATAGAGAATGTCATGACCGGTTTCCATCAAATCCAACGGAGGAGGTTTCCCGACCTGCGGAGAGGTTGCTCGGTGAAAATAATAATCATGATCCGAGGCAGAGATCCAAGAGAGAATCGTCTCTGGGAATGGCGAATGCGAGCCAGACGTTCACCTGGGGCCATCCGAAGGCGACTAGAGGATACAGGGCGGAAGAGAACCACGTGTCGAGAACGTCCGGATCTTGCTCGGCCTCTCGAGGAACGGACGATTGATCGCCCGTAACAATCCACTGCCCGTCGGGCAGCAGATACGCTGGAATGCGGTGGCCCCACCAAAGTTGCCTCGACAGACACCAGTCCTGACTCTTTGAGACCCACTCGTGAAGGATCTTCGCGTGATACGCTGGTATCAACTCCAAGCGACCGGACTGTATCTGGGAAGGAGCCGGGTCGCGTCGGTCAATCGATATGGATAAACAGATTCTCGGGAGAGAATTCATGTCGTCATTCTTATGCTTCGACGCTCGAGATCCTACCTCATCAAGAACCCTCTGGCTCAGTTCTCCGCATTTCAAGAACCATTGAGACTTGAGCCTCTGATCCACGAGACATCCGGTTCTACTGCATACCGGAATCGATCTCTCACACGGAGTGTTGCCCCTGCAATGTTTCAAGCCAGTGGCTGAGGACGAGCCTGAGCATCCATTCCCACCGCAAACAACTGTAGCGCCCTCAGGACACCATCTTATGATAGATACCTGTATAAACCCAGCTCATCGAGACGCTTCTTGAGCTTATTCGTAGCTTTCGCTCGACAGTCGCCTTTGAACCCCTCGACTGTCAGTAGACCTGCACCATCGAAGCACTCGAGAAAGTCCTGGATTCCGTGCCTAGTGCACATATCGTAATCGATACGAGAGTAAGCCGGAGTCACTTTCATGGCACCGGTTCCCGTGTCCTTATCCACCTGCGAATAGGGATGGGTGATGCTGCAGCCTCTGGTTGCTGGACGCGAGGCTCTATCCAAGTGAGCGGACGCACCTGAGAATCTTTCAATAGTTTCAGTTTCCGTCCTGTGATCGGGTGTTCTAGGACGGTTTGACCGTGATCCAAATGTGCGTATCTTTTGTCCTCTGGGTGGACGGCAACAGCCACGTCAGCCAGCATAGTGTCCAGACGACCTGTGCTGACCACGACTTCCCCGCCTGGAAGAGATCCTGTATCACTACTCGAGAGCCTGTATGTGACTTTCACCTAGGACCTGATGCTCACGGGGAAGAAAATGGCATCCAGGGATGACCAGTCCCGATCGTGAAATTACAGCCCGAGCAGAGAAGGGCGCGGACATTCTCGACTTACACCAACCGATTTTCGTGTTCTTTTCCAGGCTGACTGGCGAGTAATCTGCTCATTTCCTCTTAGTATGAGTGAATGTCCGAATGTCCATACTGTCATCGCGGACAAGTCAGTAGCGATTGATTGATAATGCTCGACTATCGAGAGATAATTACCCCCTAGCACGGGATAGGCGAACTGATGCATGCAGCCCAGGTTTACTCCGTCGACTTTTTGATTAGGCTTAATATTCATATGATCGACTTCGATGTCTGAGATCGTGGATTGGAGCGCGGAACACCAATTGACCAAACGTCGGTTCCTGGAAAGAATCACGGGCTACGATGGATTCCAGGGAAATCGTATGAATCGAATCTTTTTTGAGATCAGAGATATTTTCTACAATTATTCTTTGGAAAGGCAATTTAACCTACCGGTAGATTTTCCCGGCTCTGTGTATTCGAACGAACGCCTCGATAGTCGCCGCGCTCATTTTTTCATCCATGGTGAAAAGGGAACGGTTCCAATTCAGCGAAGCCCCGAGTCGACGGAGTTGGGAGTTTATGATTGTTTCCTGGAAATCCATTGATCGCATATTTTTCTTCGAGGGAACTTTCTATCCTTTGGGGGAAGGGGGGGAGTTCGTATCGACTTTTTCACACAGAGGCACCAAGATTGAGCCGGAGTGAATTCGACGCCGGGAGACTCACCTTCTCTCCCCTCCATTTTCGGGCGAGATCGAGACGCTGCTCCTCGGAAATCCGCGCGGGATGTTCATACTGGCTCGCCAGCATACGCTCCAGGACCGTTTGAGTGGCGATGCCGGCATGATCGGTTCCTGGAGAGGAGGTTTGAATGATACGACGATCTCCCCGAGGGATTGGACAAGAGTGAATGGCGAATTCTTGCATCTCAATATCGCTCTGCATGATACTGACCGGGTATCCAGATTACGGATGAGCCTCTGAGTCTTCGGAACCTGCAAATCGCATCCTCGATCGCAACCGTCAGAGCGTGACCCAGATGAAGATCTCCCGTGATATTCGGCGGGGGCAGAACCTTGAGTTTCCGGGAATTTGACGATAGAGAACGTCAATCATGGGTGGACGGAAGCTATCGGCTGTTTTTTGGTCGGGAAATCGAACAGAACCCACCATTCGAAATGTTGTCTCATTCGGAGCATCGTTTCGCTGAGCACGCTTCAGAGACCACTCTTGTTCCCATCCTACTTCGACTCTTTCAGAAACATACTTATCTTCGAATTCAGCGGTTACTTTCTTCGAACTGGCGCAGTGTCTCCGTCCCATTGAGAACAAAAGTTTCCGCCTCCCACGCAGCATCGTCCCGTCAGGATTTGCCCTTCGCGACCCGAGATAGGAGTCCGAGACCAAATTCCTCCAACTGGAGCCCGACTTTCCCACTCGCTCCTTCAATCCATATTGATCCGTCAAGTCCGAGATTTCACTCCGACGAGAAGCACTTTCCGCGCATGGACGTCTTGCCGACACAGCTCTGTTTTGATTTAGGGGCGAGCACGCTCCTCGAATCGTAGTCAGCAGGCGGTTCTCGAGGATGTGATTTCCGCAGTATGAGGAATCTCCGCTCCATCCCGCGAGCTCGATCTGCGTCCCTCCACGATTCGAATGGACCCTGCAAGGGATTGGTCCGCCTGAATTCCTTCGCTCAATCTGAGTCCGACCCTCTCACGGCGCGATCCTTTCGAAAGATCCCGCGCAGAATGTTCTAGAAGGTGTCTGGGATTTTACCTCTCATATGGTCTGCATCCGTCCGTAAGGACTCTCGGTGGTTGCACCCTGGATGTTTACATCGATTGATGAATACTCGTTCATCTCCCATGAGCGGGCGGTCCGACAGTCTAGGCGATGAGCCCGCTACGTTGGCCGAGAGATATCATGGCGCGGCGACTTGTTTTAAGAAAGTGGCGGTTTAGATGGCTTTCCCAAAAAGGCGGCGGACTATAAAATGTGAGAAACCTATAAATATGTTTTCTATTTCTGTATGTCCCATACCTTATTCCCCCATCAATATGAAAGCAAATGCTTCGCATGCTCGACTCCGCGTCGCCTATGGACTCCTAGATTGCCCAGCCGATCGACGTGGAAGTCACTAAGACTTCAGGACTCGAATTAAGGGCAGTTCTCAGGGAATGACCGTTCTTGTATGGAGGAGCCTTTCCTCTGTGGACTGGAAACGATTGCTCTCAGGACCAGTAGCGGTTACTGCTGTCTGTCTGCTCCATTTTGGACAGTAGTCAAAGACTGCAGCCAGCGAAGAACGAGAACGACCCGAAAAAACACACCACGGTACCACGGTACAAACCACGGTAAATAAGGAAGGAGAAACACGCGACGAAGGAGACGCGGGAATGAAAGAAACGAGACATACTGAAACGGGAAAACGGGGACAGGAGCTCCGTGAGACAGGAAAAAGAAGGACGAGGGAGCGGGAAGGACGCATGACAGGCCCCAGGATTGATTCCCCCTGTGAACGCTTAATACTAGAGGAATTATCGCAACTATCCATGATGTTCACTGTCCGCATGGATACGGCAGCAGAAGGAAATTCCATGAGCATCTGCTCAGATCTCAGATCTCGAGGCGAAGGTCCGCGACGTGTTTCTGAATTTTTGAATTTGAACGTCGCAACGTCTGAAAATGTCGCTTGCATGTCGAAAAAAAAATAGGGGAAAAGTACCAATTATGGAACACCTAAGGGCTCTGCATACATGAGAGAGACAATATCTCGGAGACCAACACGGATAGAAACGTCTCTTTGGCCTTGAAGTGAAGCTTAGATACTCAGCTATCATCAGAGCTAGGAATGCCGCAGCGGAGAAATTTATTTCCCCTGGAGTTGGAGCCTGAAGTTTCAGACATGGTCCTACCAGTTCTGGAACACACCTGTACCACTTGTGGAACAAGATCAGACCGGTTCTGGAACACCTCTGTTCACATGTATAACAGCGATTAGACCAATTATGACACATGTCAGGATTAATCTGAGGTCCTCGAACATCTTATCATGCCTGCTCGATTTATTCTGGAACGCAGAAGCTATCGATGAACAGTGAGTGAGAACAACTCAGTCGGCGTTTTGGCTTATAGGGTTCTGGGACAGCTAATATGTCTTCTTGGCATAGAGATTCGGAGCTTGACGGTGCGCGCTCTTCCTCGCTCTCTTGCGGAGATGGGATTTCTCCGCGGACTCGCCGATCGGCTTCCAACCATAGGTTATAGAGATCTTTCATGCGTGCAGGTCCGTGCCAATCTTTGCCATCGTGCTGGCGGAACAAATCGAGCTGCTCAACTGTCAGTCGCTCTTCAAGATCAAACATGAAATCGTACATGGAGCGTTCTCGAGGCGTCGACTCATTCTGGCCGTCATCTACTGCTCCCTCCGCGCTACAGATTTTGGAATAGTCTACCGCATTGGGGTCCCAGGGTGATAACCCTGCTTTCCGGAATCCGTTGATGAGCCACGATGATTCGAAGTTTTCGAAAGCTTTCTGCAGCAGCACTACGAACTCGTCCTTCCTCATTGCTCGACCTCCATTTTGCATCCTCCACGCGCTCGCCGTATTGAACCAAATCGCTTTGAGCGGTCTGAACACAGCTACGTCGAGTGGCTGCAATATGTGAGTCGCGTTGGGCATGAGGGGCAAAAGTACGATACCTTGGCTTTCACAAAAATCGGTTACTTCCATCGTCAGATGCGATCTGTGGTTGTCTAGAAAAAGCAGCACAGGACGCTGGATGCCATTCTTGACTAAGAAAGGCACGAACTGCGACTCGAGATATGTGCGGAAAACCGAGCCCGTCATCCACCCTCTGTCCGATTTCAATACGCAGAAGCCTTCGCGAGCGGAATTGGTGAGAGCGGGAGGTAAACGCTTCCGCCGCAGGACCATCGCTGTAGGTGCTAGAGACCCCGCAGCGGACCCCGTCACGAGGACTGTGACCATCTCTTTTTCTGAGCCTCCTCGGACATAAACAACGCGAGACCCTTTCTCAGCGACAACGAGTCCTCCTTCAGGATTGAGAGCCATCCCGGTCTCATCCGTGTTGAATATGCGACTAGGCTCGCGAAGGATTGCCATCAGATTGTCCTCAGCCAGTCGGGATTCGATTCTTGTGAAAAACGATCGTATGTCGCTCTCGGAAACACTGGCTTGAGCGTTCGAAACATGTTCCGCTTTTCGCAGAACAAGGTCCTTGTGCCGGTCACGGAATAATCGCACCCATTTTTCTGCAGACACTATCTGCTCAGCTCTCTCGATCCCATTCTTGCTTGCCAGCTTTGCGAGTTTCAGCCCGACTTGTTGCAACGCACACATAGTGACTGGGAAGCCCATTCGTGCCATTTTCTTCACCCACTCCACTACGTCTTCTTCAGTCTCTCCCAGAATAGGATGCGGACCACGCCTTTGTCTTTGAGGGTCATCGTCGTCGCTTTTGACTTTCCTGTGTAGAGTACTCGGAGGCACATTGAAATGTCTCGCTGCTTCTCGTAGACCAGTACCTCTCCTGACAGACGCGATTGCTCTCTTCAAATCAGCTGCATCATATTGGGCGTTCTGAAAGGCGGGAGCCATGGGATGAAAACGAACGAAATGCCCCGGCTGACTCGAAATCTGATCAACGATAATACGTAGGGAGTCAACGCCGATTCCCTCGGTACTCACCGCAGGCATCCTGAATGATCGCAAATCTCGCACTCTTCTCGACTAACTGCGGGCTCGACTAACTGCGGGCTCAACTAACTGTTTCACGAATGTGATCGGAGCCGACATTAGTTCCGCAACATTCTCGAGATGATAATTGATAATACATTCGAGGCTTCAATATCCTCTCTCCAATGGAGTCCGGGCCAGGAACATCGTCTTTTTGGAATTCTACTTCCACTGAACGACGATGGGCTCGTTTTGGGACAATGATCGACATTTCTAGTGGTGTTCCAAAACTGGTCTCACCGTGAAAAATTCCGGACCACTTATGGAACACGAGTTTATATGACCTCGAATGAGGTTTTTCGATTCCGAATTTCCCAATTTTTCGAGTCTTTCCGAGTTAGACTCAGGAACAGACTCGTTTGTCACCATATGAGAATCGGTTTGGAAAGCCCAGCCTCGAAACAATTATGGATAAGCTTAGGAAAATACTTCGTCTTCCTCTAATTTCGGCATCAGGAGCATAGATCTTCTCCGATCTTGCGCGAGAATGGCTAAATCGTTGTTTTTCAACTGGAAAACGGTAGCCTGGGTCTCGAACAAAATATTGTACCACTTGAAACCCATAAGATCGCTTTTTTTGCTTCGGGACTGTCGAAAGAACACCAGGTGTTCCATAACTGGTACGTGTTCCATAACTGGTACTTTTCCCCTAGTCTCCATCGACCCCGATATTGGATACGAGTTCCTTGCATCACAACCTAGAATTTTCCTGTGCGAAATGTCCAAAAGAAAACGAATTTTGCGGCTCCTGGCGCAAACTCCGTTCGCCACGAAGTTCATTCGAGATGTCGGGAGCATTTACAAGAATTCCTTCGCTCCGTTTTGGAGAGACGGATTGTTGGTGTCACGAAAGAGGCCGCTACGAAGTCGGCTCAGAGGAAGGCTCGTCAGTTTTCGTTTTTCACATCAAGCAAAGTCACTCCGATTCTACTCTAAGCTTGAGGTGCAAGTCTTACTCAAGAAAGAAGAATTCCATACGATGCCCCGTCACCGCGAGAATCACATCGTCAGGTAGCATCTTGAACGTTTTTGGTATACACAATCACTTGCCAGACTCCCGAGGTTATGCCAAGGAGTATCGTGCAACGAAAGATGCCATGATAAGAGACATACGGGAGAATCCTCGCAAACTACCGATGGATGTTGTGATCGATCGTCGGCGGGGTCTGCCAATCCGACCAGCTTCGCAAATTATCCCACAAAAGCAGCTGCGATATTTGCGACATCACGCGAGCTTGATGAGGCCGAAGACGGTTGGAAGCTTGGCGGAGCTTCACGGCAAGATAAACTCGGATGCTATTCTCGACTACACGGTTAGTCGAGACAACGAGCGACTGCGAAGCTTTTTCGAGCCGCAAGCGAACACCCTCCTTCTGACGACTGATAGGCTGCTTGGTTCATTGAACAATATATCTTCGCTGCACGCCGATGCAACGTACAAGACGGCACCTCGTGAGATATGCAAGCAAATCTTCACTTTGCATGCCAATTGGCAGGGCCACGTAGGCATCATCGCGTGTGCCCTCATGAATGAAAGCAACGCAGACGCATATGCGTGGGTCTTGAGATGTTTAAAGGAGAAGGCATCGACCCTGGAGGTTCCATCGTATATGGGCGATTGGGATCTTGCGATACGTGCTGCCGTCCACTCAGAATTTCCGCAGGCTACGCTCCACGGCTGTTGGTTTCATTACTCACAGTGCCTGGTAAGGAGAGCCGGAGGGATGGGCTTGGCGACCGCCATCCGACGTCCCGGTCTCGTCCTCTCGAGGTTCCTGTCTTTTTTGGCGTTGCCTCTTCTCCCAGCGCCCCTAATCGTGAGTACTTTCGAGTACTTCTCCGAACAAGCGCGGTTGTCCCATGCTGGATTTTCGAAGTTTCTCAAGTATGTGGAGTCCCATTGGCTCAACACGGTTGGTCCCGGCAACCTCTCGGTCCATGGGTTGGTCCAGAGGACCAACAATGACGTCGAAAGTCACAACGCCAAGCTGTTGCGCCAGGCCCGCCGCTCGCATGGGACCGTCTGGAACATCATTTCCGTTCTCATGGGTTTGCTGCAGGATGCAGCCGTCGATCGAGTTAGTCATGAGATTGGTGATACGAATCTGCTGTCCAAACCGAGTCGCGCTACCAAAGACAACAGGATGATCCTCGAACACTCCTGGGGACTCCTGGATAGCGGTGAAATCGACGGAATTGAATTCATAAACCGGGTGAAATACAAAGTGGGTAGGAGGAACCACTGGCGAAACCTAACGACGGTGGATGCTGCGTTGCCAAGGGATCCGATCCTCCAGCGTTGGGTAGATGAAATGAACGCCCGAAACTCGATGAACCGGCTCACGGAAACCACGGACACCGCCGGCGGGGAACTCGTGGTTGACCATGGCTCCGACGAAATCGAATCAAGTAGTGACGATGAACCGGTCTTGGCACGCACGGCTTCCGCGGGTGATCTCGACGCGAGTACTCTGGACACTTCGTCCGAAGTCCTGCTCGAACAAGATGATCGAGAGCGAGCCGATGCCGGCGCAGTCGTAGCGCAGTCATTCTTTGAACCCCTTCATGGACTTCCTGCATGCGATGAAAACTCCAATCTCTATGGGGACCACTCGTACGCTAGCGATTTGCCTTTAGCACAGACCTTAGAATGTCGTCGAGTCAAGTTCGAATCAAGCCGCAAGAATGAATCGCTCCTGGCACTTGCGGCATCCGAGGGCGATCCCCGCGCGAGAATCTTGGTCACAGCGCCTGGGCGCCTGCTCGCATACGACCATCTAGGGCGAGCCGACGCCGCAGGATCGTCGTCTCCACCTAATTCTGATACTCCTATTCAAGATAGAAACTTCAAGATCTTCGAGGACCACTCGTACGCTTGCAATTCGTTTAGAGCACAGACCTCGGAATGGCGACGAGTCGAGTTCGAATCAAGCTGCAAGAATGAACCGTCATCCCTTCTACCTCCGTCAGAAATTCCCCGAGACGATGAAAATTCGAACTTCCTAAAAGATCACTCGTATGCTTCTGCAGGGTTCCCGTCCAATCTAAGGAACTTGTGTTGGCTCCAAGTCGAGAATTCGAATCCTCAGATACCAGCGATGAGCAATCAGATGGGCCGAGTGATAAGAGAAGCTCTCGGGAAAGAAGCGGACGTGGTCCTTGTTCGAACGGACAACCTCTCAGTGCGTCGTTCCGACCTGGAAACACTCCGCAATCAAAACTGGCTGAACGACACCATAATGAACGCCTACCTGAATCTCATCAGCAAGCGAAGCAAGATACATGAAGGTTTGCCGAAGGTGCACGTCATGAACACCTTCTTTCTGCTGTGCCTCGAAAAAGGCTACGACAACGTTCGAGGATGGACGGGGACGGCAGATATATTCGCTCAAGATATCCTGCTCGTCCCCGTCTACAGGGATTTCCACTGGTGCATGGCAATCATTCATGTGCGGAAAAGACTCATCGTTTACGCCGATTCACTCGGGGGCAGAAATGATGAGTGCTTCCGAGCTCTGATTGATTACTTGAGCCAAGAAATGGCGAGCAAACACAAGCGTGAACTCGTACAGAACGAATGGAACTTCAAGTACGTAGATCATCTCCCGAAGCAAGCGAATGGATCTGACTGCGGAGTCTTCGCACTGAAGTTCGCAGACTATGCCGCCCGGAACTCAAGAGTCAATTTCAGCCAGAGAGATATGGCATATTTCCGTCAGCGAATAACTTACGAAATTCTTCAGGAGGCTATCCTACCGACCGGGTACGGAGAAAATTATTGAGCACGACGATAGAATTTCATCACCACCGCTATTCTCTCACCGACTCACGTAGGCCTTCGGACAATGACAGACTGTTGACATGAATAAAACTCTTCCAATCATTATCTAAAATATCATATCGCCGAATTTTCCTTGAGCTCTCGTTGAAAACGCTCACTCGGTGCACGTGCACGATGAAATGTCGTCTATCCTTATTTACAAAATATTCCTTCGGAAATTTCACTCAATTCTCAGCAGCAATATGCCGCCGTCGCGCCGCCAGTCGCCGGCTCTTCTCACGGCTGACTTAGCGGGCGCAGTGCGTGCACCGTCTGAGCGCCCGCTCAGAAGAGAGAGATAAACATTCATCCATCAATGTTTACATCAGGGTGCAACCACCGAGAGCCGTCCGTAAGTGGTGCTTCTTCTCCGTTCTCAAAGGGGAAAATCACGAAATTCTGACCAAGTGCTTGTTCTGAAGCGCCTCCGATCTCTGTTTCCAGAGAGTGGGCGGTGGAGTGTCTGTCGACATGGAGAGCAATCGCGATGATGCTCTGCAAGCAATCATTGTCGCTAAGAAGGCCCTTGCGGAAGGCAACATAGACAAAGCGAAGAAATTCTTGAATAAATCATTGAGGATATGTCCGACAGATCAGGCTAAAGGTGAGGACTCTGCATAGTCATAAAATTCTGTTCAGGGCTCTCGGTGCTAGTCGACTGCTCTGATCCAGGCGAGCACGGTTTGCTGGAATCATCTGTGCTACGTAGCACTCGTACGTCGACCATTATGCTGTATACTCGATTGATCCACCTCAAGAGGTGACAGGATTCCCCAGCTCTCCATATGAACAAACTAGCTGGGGGATGGCCGATCCGGAGAAACGGCAATCTCGTGAGCGGGGGTTCCATTGCATCAGGCTGCGGACGTCATTCGTTAGGACGCAACATCCCGATCTAAGAATCGGCTGACTTCGCCGGAAGAGCCGGAAAGAGCGTTTCCGGCAGAAGTGCTACCAGTTCTTCGCGATATCTCAATCCGCTAATCCAGTGCGGCCCTGGATGATCGATTCTTGTTGTCGGAGAGACATCTGGACTCTGGGCCACAACTCCGATTGCTCGACGCCGCTATCGCAGGACTCGTGCAGCTCGTTCATTCATCCATCGAGATGTAGAGCGTAATTTGATAGTTCGCTCATGATTTCCACGGATCGAAGGGGCGACGGCTCGAACAATCAGACTCTCGATCGAATCCTGAGCCCGTAGCTCGCGCGTGAATACTGCAAGATCGAAGCGACTGCATGGAGTGAAACACGTTGGCTTGTGATCGCTGCTTTTCGCAGTCGTTCATTTGCTATCCTACTGAACGAGCCACGCTCGCATCACGCGACTTCTCCTCGGAATGAGCAACCATTTAATTTTCGCTTCCTTCCTCGCAGAGTTACTGGACTCAATAGAATCCGGAGCTTCCGGAAGCTCACGGAGTGCGCCAGGGTCTCCGAAGAAGCAAAATGGAGACGTCCGGAACCGGAAACGAGTTCCGTCGCCCGACCGAACCCCCGAATGCAGTCCCGAACATTTGGAGGTTGTGAAAAGAATATCCAAATGTAAAAACTATTACGAAGTGCTCGAGGTCGATAAGGAGAACTTTAACGAGAACGAGCTCAAAAAAAAGTACCGAAAACTCGCGCTTCTAGTAAGTGGAATCGATTCACCCTGGATATCTTCCGGACTAATCTGTGTCGCCCTTTGGTATGCTGGGATCTCATCCGGTCGAGAGTTGGGTCTAAGCATGAATTTTCCTCTCAAGGTCCATCCTGACAAAAACCTCGCTCCGGGCGCAGCGGACGCTTTCAAGAAAGTCGGAAACGCTTATGGGGTGTTGTCAGACCATCAGAAAAAGGCGGAGTATGACATAAATATGAACAGACCAGTCGAGAGCGGACGATCGAGGAGCCACAACGAGTATGCGCATTTTGAAACGAGCGCCGATATAACACCCGATGAACTGTTCAATGTTTTCTTCAACAATACCTTCGGTGAGTTTCGACGATCGTGCCAGGGGAGGTTGTCGACTCGAGACTCCTTTACGGTGCCAAAGTCTGGACGTTCTCAACTCGACAGTGCAAGACCTACCGCGTCGGATCGTTCTTGCTCTTCATGATTCTTGATTGACAAGGTGGCATAGTATTATAGCTGCCTCTCTCCTACCTGGAAATCCTGATTATTCGCACGGCTCAGTGGAACGAACCGAATTCCAGGCGGCGGAACGTTTACCTTTGACAGCCAACGCCGACGGAGACAGGCGTACCATCGACAACATTTCCAGACCCATGAGCAGTCGGACGGGAGTCAGAGCTCAGTGCTGCTGCAGATGCTCCCGATCCTTGTCCTCGTCGGGGTGTCGGTTCTGTCTTCGTTTTTTGCGCAGGACCCCCCTTATTCGATGCTACGTACCACGTAAGTACACCTGACTAAGCATGAGTTCGACGTCGATCTTCCGAGTCGACGGCCGAGTCTTTCGGGAACTCATTCCGCGCGTGTCTGACTCGATGAGCTTATGCTAAAGGAGCGTAATTTCGACGAGTCCCTCCCCGATCAAGTGGACCATTTGACTGACCTCCTTCTCTCTTCTCCGCAGCAAATACCCTGTACCAATGCAGACGACGAGACTGAATGTTCCCTTCTTTGTCCAAGAGAGTTTCCATCGAGATTTCAACAGGCATGCCATCAGTCGGATACAAGAGCAAATTGAAGCGGATTACATAGTGAGCTTACGTCATAATTGTATACGGGAACGACAAAGTAGAGATTCGCTCCTATGGCGAGCACGGCACACAGGAAATCACGATTGGGAGACCAAAGCCCACAAGCTCGGCGTGCCCAGCTGTGATCGCCTGAATGAAATTCACGGACAAGCCTAAGAAGAAGTGACTCAAATTTATTATCTAGAAAGAAGAAAGACATTCGAGCCGACGCTCGGAGCTGTGAACACCGAATCGGAGTCCTCATTGCGATCATTTGAAGGGACAGACTTGCTTGCGAACACAAGAATGCATTCCTGTCCTCTTGTCTGAAGAAGTGGAAGCGTGGAGTTCCTGTCGAAGCATCTTCCGTTTGAACGGTATCTACTAGGGAAAACGATGGTGATTATTGTTAAGACGAGTGCACTTTTTTTCTGTACGATTATATAAATGAAGATTATTTTATCCCTGTCTTAGTAAGTACGGTCAGTTTTGTGATGTAGCTCCAACGGCATGGTCTTGATGATAGAACCGTTGACTCTCGTTTACTCGGAAACATAACTTCTGTTTTGAGTTGGCGCTCTGCTGATTCACTTCGAAAAAGCTCTGCACCTACGACCGCTCACCGACCACGATTCACGATGAGGACCCGGTGCTTGCCGTCCGGCAGATGTAAATGGGAGGCTGCAGCTCTCTTTTTGCTCGGGGGGTTGTTCGATTTAGTTATGATTTGTAAATAGTTCGGATTTCTATCGAGACGAGACTGAGAAGGCTTAGGACTGAACTTGGCGCTGAAATAAAGGAATGAAGATGACGATGAAAGATCTTAGACGAAGACTCGATCATATTTCCTCGTTTTGAACGATCCCCCCGAGAGATGATAATGTGATTCTACGCATTTCTTCGGAAATTTCCCTGGTGACCATGGCTGTTGAACAGGACTCTAGCATCAATGTCCGGGAAACTCTAAGAATTATTTATTTTCAATGAAGACTTGGAGGTTTCTCATACACACCCCGGACTCTTTGCTATCCTGAGAGAGCTTCATCGATCATAAGGGATCCCGCTTCCCAGTTTTCGCTTTTCTTGCTCGGAAAGCCTCCCAACAGTCAAATGGAGCTAAAACGTTCCCGAACACAATGAAATCACCTTCGAGAGACGTGAAAATCAACTTCGACACGCTTCAGGCGTTTCCTTTCATCGAGATGATGCCAACTCTCCGCCTGCGCTGGGGCTCATGCCCGAGCTGAAGGGGTTCATGCCCGAGCTGAAGCACTATAGCACGGCGTGGGCAGAGGCGACGCAGATGTCAGCACTGAATTTCGGCTATCGCCAGTTTTTTGAGACATACCGAAGACGAGTCCCCTCAAGTCCTCATTCTTCATTCTGCTCACTTGCCCTGAGCCGGTTAGAACATCGATACGGAGTACGAATGTACGATTGATCCTTCGATGAGGAGTATCGATTTCCGTTCGACCGAGGCGGATTTCTAAAAACCAAGGAAAGGCGCCGAATTTCTCTGAGATGTCAGAGGGAAATGGTTTTATTCGTGCATCAATGAGAGCTTTGGCTTTTCTCTACATCGAAATTCCGATACGTCGGCATTAGTCTAGTCCATCTCTCTTACTATCAGTCTCTATTCGTGGAGAAATGCTGCCTCAGCTGATGAAGCACCTCCGACTCACTTCTTCTTCTGCACGATGAGTGGACCCACATTTTCCCCTGGAAATGATGGTACAGAAGAGCCAGTTATTGACCTCGTCACGGCTGTCTCGAAATCGCTGGGAGCTGCATGATCGATACCGATGAACGCCGCATGTATTTCCGACGAGTCTTCATGGGATACTTTCGATACATTTACACACGCGACACACATACACACCAAGCATTCAACTCAAGTGACCGGTCGCCCAGACAGATTATTTTAGATTCTACTTCGGGTAAATTAGTGCGTTCTGGCTGAGTTAGGTGCGTCGGAGTCATCGACTGCCTTACCAGACTCTTGGTTGAACTTGGTGTGAGTGCCGTCGCAATATGGGAATTTCGAACTTCTCCAGCACCTGCAGAATACGGCTTTGTCCCCGATGTCTTCGATATCGACCGTGTTGACGACCTTGGCTTTCGACTTATCGATTCCCGGGTTGACCTTGCATTTGCAACTGGCGCATTTTCCGCCGCAACCCCCTCTCTTCCACAACCAATACATAGCCCCAGCTATCAGGGCAGTTGCAGTTGCGATGTAGACGGGGTTATGGAAGGGACACTTGCCTGGAATTCAAGATCGAGCGTAAAGACCGAGAGCGCCTCTAACACTGGAATCGAGCCGGATACCGCGAGCTCTGAGGAAGAAATCCATCAGACGATAATTCGATGGAACCATGTCCACGGTGGAGACGGAATCGTGGAGCTTCCGATCGCTTCTCAGAAGAATTCTGTTCCCACTTCGTAGTTCCGAATACAATGACATTTCTCACTAACGATTTCTCCCAAGAGGTTAGTCACTCACTCCACATTTCTAATAGAGCATCCATTACTCCACTGCAACGACCGCAGGAGAAATCAAACCGAATAAGCTCACGGGGCGAAAGTCTAGGATATTGACAGTCGGTATTGACAAGGCTTCTGGTGTCTATCGGCCGCCCCTGGTAAATCTTTGCCCGATTATTATCGCTTGTCCAGCGCATGCGCCGTGTTCTTGACACACTGCCCAGGAGCAACTAAAGAGCGTGAAAAGTGGCGAGGAAAAGTTTGTAAACAACGAATCCCGGTCGGACCGTCGAATGCGCCAGCTCGGACCCTACGGGAGACTTCTACCATCTAGAAGAGGAGACTCAGGTTCAGAGGGGGAGAGAAGAGCAGTGTTTGTCGCAGCCTCTGCGTCACGTTAGGAGAGTATCCAATCGGTCGGCAAGGACGTAGATGCACTATTTGCTTCTCACGAGCTGTCACCAGGGGCGTATCCGGCTTGTCAGAAGGGGATAGAGCCCTCTTTCCACGAAATATTTCGTCGCTAGTGCTGGAGCCAGGAGTTGACCATCACTCCGAGCCCCCAGTCCCGCCCAAAATGAGATCCGACCCCCAGGAGAACAGATCCAGATACGGCGACTCTCACCTACGCCTTAACGAAACGTTGGCTCTCCCCTACCCGCGTTTGGAATTGAGGAAACCTCAATGATGATACTTTTGGGAAGCCGATACGACGGAGAAAATGGCGAATCGAGATCACTTAGGGCAGAGGGGGAGACTCATGTCAGGACAGATCGATACCCACAGAGAAATTCCCGCCAGAAAACCGCCACCCATTTTCGACCCGAAGACGCAGAAAACCCACCTCCTCGCGGGGGTCGGCATCGCCAAGTAAAGAGCGGGAGTGCCGAAATACTTTCGCCGATGTTCGATCGGCGCCGCTGTTCCCGAATCGCATCGTTTGCAAGCTATAGTCTTCGGAGCTTTCTTGAGGAAGGAAGAGACAATGACCGAATCCGTGTGGAAATCGGGCCGGAAAGGCGACGAGTTTGGTTTATTGCAAGTTTCCACATACGTGTGCATCGGGGCTGGGGGGAGTACAAATACATCCTCCAAGGTGGAGTCGTCGTATTTACAAGGCATGCGTATGACGCTGCAGCTTCGTGGGACTCCGAAAAATCCCGTCCTCTATCCTGGCCGCTACCTATGAAGCACTTAAAGCTGAATTTGGCTTCTCGGCGTTTTGAAGAGTTTCTTCGCTGTATCAAAGATTCAAGGTGTGATGCGATCAGCTTGATCAAATCGGGAAGTGAGTGCCCAGATGATCATACGCAGTCTCTGAGATTACCGGAATCTCCAAAAGTTCCTAGATGATATTATGAGATATAGATTGCACCTTCGTTAGGAGTGACCACCATCCTATCGATTGAATTAGCTGAGTCGTCAGTTCGGTCGAGAAATCGGCTCTCTCAGCTAGTCGTGTGCATATCGTCTTTGTACCTCCTCGATGAGAGATCAAATGATTCAACACAAAGTCAGCTCAGCGGTGAGAACTAATCACGAAGATCGAGCCGGGGAGCGTCCTCGAAATGAGTCGGGCGGCCGAGCTCCTCATTCATCCGTAGAATAGACAAACTGATGAGTGCCCATTTAAAAAAATCACAGGTTACACAAATTGCTGTACCAGTCTTCGGTGAGTAAATCGAGGACTTGATATCAGGGAATCCCGGGTGGCATGTGTGAAAAGGAGTATAAGAGAGGCGAGCCTCCGGCGCGTGATCCTGCGAGTTTGCGCCAGACCCCGCTCTGGGGGCATCTCAGATGAGAACCCCTCTCCTGGAGTCCCCAAGAATATAATCTCGCGTAGAGTGGGAATCGTCGATGGAATAAATTATCGGTGAGCCGGAGAAGCGAGGCGGCAGAGCAAAATAAGCTTTTTCGTGATAAAATGGAATGTTTCGGTAGAACAAATTTCTTTTTCGGCATTCCGCGTTCCGTCCATAATGTAAGCAGCTTCGCATGGGTCAGAAGCCATCCAAGCTCTCACAAAGACATCCTCGAGCTAAAACAACAAAGGCCAACGAATCCTATTCTCGGTCAACCGACGAAGTCTGTTCCACGGGAGAGGAGCCGAGATGAGCAGTAAAACGAGAAGAAACTATCGCTCGGCATGGCGAGAAGTCCCGGGAAGCCTCCCCGAGGAGAACAAGCACCCAAGCTTCCATTCCAAAACTTCGACCGACGCTGCTTATGACGTCGCTGTACCTCGGAAGCAAAGCGGGGACTCTGCAATGAGACCGAGCGATTGCTGCCTGAATCCGAGGACCGAGCACGGAAGTACTCCTGCCCACTATTCGAAACTATTCTAGCACAACACATATATCACTTTTGCTGGCAAGCAGCATGCGAAAATCACCACTCGAACTTCTCGTCAGCTTGTTCGGTGGCTCTTGCCGGGACTATACGAAACGAACATCCTAATGAAGCTCGTTTCACTGCTGAGATTTCCTGCGGTCACAGATCTGAGCGGTTTTCTCAGTCAGATTGCCAAGCACTTCGAGATTTGTCTTTCCGAACGAAGACTCGCAGCAGCCTCCTGATGCCTCCTCCTTTCTTCCGTCTGGTTTCTGTTACGCATTGCACTTCGCTGTTTTCCGACTTTTCGGACTTTGGTAAATATCACGAGTTCGTTTGCACGGCAACGTTCTTCACCGGGTTCCGCTCCGGCACCACGGGCGTCTTCTTGCTCGAGATCTCCAGTTGGAGTTTCCTTATCGTGGCATCGCGATCCTTGAGCTCCTCGTTCAGTAGAACGATCTGTCGCCGAAGATCGTCATCGCCGCTCTCGTCAACGCAATGTTCGAGAGTCGTTCTTAAAATAAGCAGTTGCTCCTTGATCCTGGCAAGTTCATGGTACATGAGCATGCTCCTATTCATTCCCAGGTTCAAGTTCACGCTGCATCGGCTCGTTTCTGAGTCCAAACTGTTCTTCGACGATGCCATCAGACTGGGCTGATCTACGAAGTCGTCATCGATCAGTCCCTCAACCCGTTCCAGAATGTCCGAATTCAAGCTCGCAGAACTATGGTGAGACAAAGGTGTTTTCGACGGACTTTTCATCGGGCTGGCTCTTGTTGGTGAGGCGGTGACATTGGCCTCGACTTGACGCTCGGGAATTCTCACGGGACTCCTCTGACGTTGGAGGTAGAGATCCCGACTGAAGAAACGCTCTGTTTTTACAGGACTCCAGGCTCTGACAGCGCTTGCTTGATGCCGTACAGGGCTCAGGCAGCGTTTGCCTTGTGTGTTACTTTCGTTGTTGTTGTCGACGGTGACAGCCTTCAGTGGACTCGACTGTCTCTTCGAGGGACTACCGTCCCTCCGGTTCGCCGCTAGCTCCCCCCGATTCGCCTCGGATCTCGGACAGCACAGAGGACTCTGATATCCTGGCACTACCACATCATTGGCCGGCGGTACCGCAGGCGCGGGTCGGACAACTTTCACTGGCATTTTCGGTGTGCAAGGTTTCAAGTTGTCCAGCGTAGTGGGCCGAATAGCCCTCGGGGTTCCTGATTTGCCTCGCTCAGAATTAGCATTATTGTCTACTGTTTGCTGTCCGGTAGGGTTTTGATTGCTCAGCAAAGCCGCAGTTGGAGACTTCAAAAACTCGAGAACAGATGTTATCGTCTCTTGGTCGTTTTTGATGTCTGATGGATGGAAAAATGTTCTAGCAGGCACAGAACTGACCGTCGCCGCCGCGGTGGCGTCTGACCTATTGGCGTTAGAGTCGTGCGTCGTTAGGTCTCCATCCGTGGCCGTACTATTTCGAACCTCCACCTTGGGGAACATGGGCTCGAGTCTACGGTACGACAATATACCTCGTCGCGTCGCGTAGCTCTGAGGCTGACTATGGAGAACCTTGACTTGGAAGGCTTGTGCATAATCACTCGTTAGTCGAGGTCGATTGTTGAGGTTCAGATCGCACTTGAGAGTTTGCGGCAGCTGAGGGGTGTCGAACAGACTCTTCTTCGTCGACGACATCTTGCCGGAGTCTTTCCCTCGTTCGAGAGTCGAACGATTCGTCAACGATGGGAAGTCGGGATGGTTCTCACTGGTCCACGTCGAATCCGAGTAACGGCTCGCCGAAGTGTCCAGGGGGCTTTTGCCGGTCACATATCCGCTGGATGATGCCGCCACCGCCACGCAACAATCCGTAGGGATGGTGTCCGACGCGCAGCCTGGCGACTCCAGCTCAGACGGTGATTGGGGAACGGAATTCGTGGACAGAGGGGCCACTCGGTTCTTGCTGTGTTGCTGCGGCGTACTGTGACGGCTATTGCACGAATAGCATGTGCCCATCAAGACGACCGCACAGTCGCCCACATCCGAACACCGACGGACACCAATGGCGGCTCCCTCGCTTCCCTCAACTGCCACCCTACGGACATGCGCAAACGTTCGAGACGGTAAGCGTTACCAGTTCATGTAAATTCGGTCTCGGAGCTTTCCGCAGATCGAATTCTCTTGGAACGTGGATCAAGAATCCAGATCTGACGCTGTCAAGAGCGAAGGTGTTCCCGCGAGCGATTTCTCAAGGCGAAGGGAAAACATGTGAACCATTCGGGCTCATTACAGAGCTCTTCTCAGGTTAAGCATCGTCTAACGGAAGAATTGAGATCCATGGCTTACCCGTCATGTCGGCTCTTGGTAGGAGTGTATCACGCGCTTGATACGGCAATTAGAGAACCGAAAACCGTCGCTCGACACGTCACAAAACGTGGAACACTGATTGCCGATAAATGCGCACCGACCGTCCTTCACTGGAGCGCCGCTTCATCCAAACTGACGGAATGGTTCCGTCGAATACGAAAAGTCCGAGTCCGAGGCCAGCAGCGCCAAAAGAACCGGCCCCCCCTAATAGAATCTCGAGCTTTCTCAAATATTTCTTTACTTTCCCTTCTTTCGATGCTGACGAAGCCATTTCTGTGGCCACGGGACTCGATGAACCGTATTCCCAACCATGGCTGGATGCGGGACCGTCTCGTTAACTCCGAGGCTTCGCAAGAAATCCCTCCATAGGCGCTTCGTCCGAATGGAAGGATTATACCGGTGGAGTTGAAAACGCAGACTGCAGCATTCCCAATGCGGTACAATGCGACTCTGCCCGCTTCTTCAACGATAAATGGAAGCTTCCTCGGTCTGACGATGACGAATAATCCGGCGCGTCCGACCTCCAAAGTCCCGCGCATGAGAACTGACGAAAGACCTGCGGCTCCGGCGTTCTTTCCTGTTCCATGGTGAAGCGAGGGCCCCGACGAACCTCCATCCTTCTTCATCCTTCGATGAATAATCGTTCCTTTTGCCGGGTTGAACATGCTCAATTCGCTCGCATCGGAAGCTCCTCACCTAGCTTTCCAAGTGCCAAATCGCGACGTCGAGAAATACGGAACTCGAGTCGCGTGATTCCATCGCGATTCGATTGGACGAATATCTGATCTCGAGAAAACTGAATTTTTCTACGATGGATGCAACCGGCTACGCTAACGGGAGGTTCCCCTCACACAGAGAAGGGATCGAAGGATTCATCTATCATCATGACTCGTCAAGATGATGATAGAGGATGTCGAATCATGTCACAGCTCTCCAATCTGATTTACAGTTCCGCATCTGAAGTGTAAACTCGCTCCAGCATAGAGCGCTTGAGACGTCGTTCGGAGATAACCACGAATTCCGACAGCGATGCACTGTCATACATAGCATACAGACACAATCTTCCGGTATCTCCTGACATTCCGAGCTCCATGGCTCCATGCTTGGCGAATGCATCCACGAGATATTGGATATGCGTAGCGGAACGAGTATTGAACTCGATACTATCCGATCGCAGCAGAGGGCAACTCGCGTTTCCGCCAAATTTCGACTGCTGGAAAAACGACGAAGGAGTATTGGGTGAGGGCAGAGAATCAACGCCTCTACGGGCCTCTCTTTCCACTCGCGCCGGCGTCTCGGACGCTGTAGCTTCAGCGCTGTTCGGAAGTGGGATGTGCGACGAGTTGAATTCGAGGTGATCCTGGAGTTTCACGCGTAATTCAAGGATGTCGTCTGGGACGAAAGTTCCCTCAGATAATTGGTTTCGAGATCTTGTGGACGAAGCGCTCCAAGAGCGCGGATTCCGGACCGTTGAGGGAGAGTCCCAGTATACTCACAAGTCATGCCCAGGTGCCAAGTTCGAGTTTGTATGGACGAAGCTGTCAGATGACTTAGTGACCGGAAACTCTATTTGGAGCGTGGGGGATGTGAGCGAGTGTATTACACTCCACAAGCTTCAGAAACTCGAAGTTCCCCAGAGAAATGTGATAAAAATACAAATCGTGGTAAGTGGAGTGAATCAATTTATTATGGCACCGTACGCAGTTCACGCGCGACTCTTCCGAATGCATGATCGACATCCGGAATCATTTAATGATACAGAGATCACTAGAGCTGATCCTGAGCTGTCGACGGAGATCTTCCTCTGGACGTGATCACCCAAAGATTATTGAGCTGCTCGAGCTTCACATCGCGAAGAACAAGTGCATACTCCCGATCCTCCATCCATGCAGCCGCCGCTTTATCCTAGCGTGTTTCCTCTATCCTAAACGTATGAAAATCGACAATTTCCAAGGGAGAGCGGCTCCGATAGATAGTGGTTCGGCTGACGCTTCCGGCGATCCGTTTTCTCTCAACCAACGGAATCACTCCCGCGGTCTCTTAGTTCGGGTCTGGTATTCGGGATTCGGAGAGAGTTAGCTCGACGGACGATCATTCCGGAAAGTCTGTGAATTGAATTTCTGAGCCGGCCCTGCGGTCCACGCCGTCAACGCTGACCAGAATCGATGCAGAAACCCCGATAACTACACTGCTGAAGAAGTCTGAACCGGAGATGCTATCCCCGATACGAGGGTATACCCGCCTAGCGAGTTGAATGGCCCCATGAAATTTTCTGGAAGTATTCGTGAATTCTCGAAGAGCAGTCATCGGCCGCCGCTTCCGCAGAGAGTGTGTATTCAATGTCCGAAATTTTTCGCGGTGCCCACGAGTTACGAATTCGGTCGACTGCCGCTGTTGAGCTTCCTGTCTGGAGGGACCACAATACATAGTAGGGAATGACTCAATGGATGCGGTTTCCCCGAAAATGAGATGACTGATATTGATTCCCACTTTTCTACAGAATAACCTGTTACTTCCGTGCCTATACGCATGTGAGACCTTCATCCATGGTTCGCCCCAGCAAGGTCTTCTGGCTCTGCCCGCCGAGGTGAGATATCCACGGAAACTCAACGATGCGCCTTCCGGAGCGAGAAACTTCTCGGACAGGCTTATCAAAAAACTTGACGCCTTTCAGGTCAGCTTGCAAATTATGGAGAACCTCCCGGCAGCCTCACTTTGCTCCCTGGCCGTGGCTCATCCGACGATGAAGCTGCTGACGGCCGAATCTAAGTTATGGGAACGTCTCTTCAGAAAAGATTTCCCGCTGGCCAAGCCGAGTGTAACATTGAATTCGAATTGGAAGGAGCTTTACAAAACCGAATATCTGGCAGGTAAACCGAGTGGGAGAGATCTTGAAACATATTCTACCTATATCCTTCCGAACTCGCTTTATCAGAATCTAACCATCGCCCATATGGATCCTAACTCGAGCCCTCACGGCCGTTTTCCTCTGCCTACTGAGATTCTATTCTCGTGACTTCTCATACATATGAATTTTTGTTCCGGAAGCACGGCGAAGGGTGAGAATCAATTTTTGAAACTGGAGTCCAGAACTTCCCGTCTTCTCGGACTCGTCAGGCGACTTGACTCGCTTCTCGTTCTCGACCTCTGTTCATCCGAGAAGGGAAAGTTGGCCTTCGATTTACTGCAATGAGACGGGATCGTGCATCGTGATGCACCTGGTTATTTACAATAGTCGTCAGCTCATAGTCGTCCGCTTTCCAGGCCGGGCGATCTACAGGCGTTCGGCGGTACTTCCTACGGTACGCCGACATCATATGAGCGAAGCCGATCCTCGATCGAGAGTGTTCAAACCCTTGGACTTCTATCGGAAGCTTGTCCGATACAACTATTCTGATTAATTTGCCGTAGATTCCTCTGAGGTGTATTAGGCAGATTCTTTATTGATATGTTGACCATGCTATTCGGTGGCGTCATACAATAAAACTTGTGCGTTGATCGCGAGAGCTGTGAGTTTTCCTTCGGACCAATGACTCTCTATGACGACTCCCCTGCCGCCGGAACTTTATCCAGAGGTACCGCCGACGCTTCCTGCAACTTCGGCAACTTCGCGCGATCCACGTCCGGGAACCAACCCAGGTTGTCAGCGATCAGATGTCGATTCCTGCAGTGATCGCAAGTGACGATCACCACACCGTGATCGTAGGCTTGTTTCGATAGCCACTTCGTCACTGGTTCGCCACAGGGGCCGCACTGAGGGGAAATTGACGATTATTCAGAGATTGAGGAGCTGGAGAGCAGATCGCGCCAAATATCGAGCAGCTAAGTCTGTTGGATGCTTCTCTGAGATTCCGTGAAACTTGACGGAACAATGGTGGGGAATACCTTGAAACTGAGGTAGAGTCTCCTATCGGGGATTTTTCCGAGCGCCGACTTTACTCCACCACCGACTGCTCTTGGTTCGGGGAAACTCCGATCACAGTAGAATCTTCTCAACGCCTTGGCGCTCCAGCTGATCAGACTGCGTTGCATGCTCGTTGTCTGACGAGAGGCATCTCAATTGAGCAGGAGGCGAGGAGACACGTTCTTTCATGAGAACCAGTGAGAGTTTTCGAGAGGGACTCACCTAGCGAGTCCTGTGCAGTTTTCCGAACATACGTAATTTCGGGGTTCTATCGGACATCGACTTGAACTTGATCAATCGCAGGCCCCAGTTGCGCGTTGTGCGCGATGGAACAAGAATGAGTTATTTACACCATACACCGCTCGCAGTCTGCCTGTGTGTAGGATTTCCGGAGCGAGCGCGATATCTATCTCGAGAGGGGTCGGCGAAATCAGCGGGCAGGCCGATAGATCATCGAGCTTATGATCCTTCAAAAGGCCCATTTAGCCAGGAGCAGATGCCGATGGCGATCCTGGTAGCCAGTGGCGTTCTGTAGAGAAACTCGAGAGAGAGCCCGCGCGCCCGTCGTTCGTTTAAGGACTTCGTTCGTTGTCTTGCGTCTCGCTGGCGCGGGGCTGTGTAAAAATCATAGTACCTTGCGACCTCCACGTGCCATTCCCGTGCATGAACGCGCGCTCAGCCTCTGTTGGCTTGCATGATTTCGCGGCGCTCAACCTCCTTTCGTTCCGTTGGAGATCGGGCTCATAGAGGCAGCGCGGCGGATGGGCTCGCCGTATTTTCTCAGTTTTCCCATTTTGATGTCGATGCATTTCGGAGAAGAAAGCTTCCTCTCCTTAGGAGATGACCGGGTCCGCTGTCGTTGAGAGCAAGTCAAGCTTGTCGTGTCAACGCGTGGGCATTGTCGAGCCCTACTACCCAGGCTACCGAGTCAGGCGCGTGCCCAGGAATTTTTTATTGGGAGGGCGGGGCCGTTCTCTTGGTGGGGGGTAAGTACCGATGGTGATGAGCCTCAACATGGAACGTTATGGACTAGAAAGAGATCTTGCGGGGGTCATAGCGCTCGAAAACCTACTCTGAATCCAGCAAAGATCATCGTGCCAGTCATATTTTCGGTCTGCTGATTTGCTACGCAGTCGGTCGCATGGATCGGGACTCCCATCAACTTGCACGGTAATCCATCGGTACGAGATTCTCATAGCCTTGTTCCCTCGCGGAGGGACGCGTCTCCGAGGAGCGGCGTCACTCCGTTCCGGGAAATCGCACTTGTCAAGCTGAGGCTTAGACGACTGAGCGCATCTTAAACGTCGGAAGAAAGTTGAAGATCCGAGGCTTGCGTAACAGTATCCGGAGAATAAATGCACAAGCGGTAGCTGAGGACGCGTCCTGGGAGTCGCCTGGCTGTCTTAGCTGCTTTCTTCCCGTCTCAAGACATACCTCGAACTATGCGGATGCAAAGTGCTCTCCCTGCGTGAAACACTCCATCTCTCATACTAGCCGAACTTTCGAACGCTGTAGTACCGCTAGTCTGTGATCGGTGGTCAGCTGAAGCTTCAATCACAGAATGGCGAACCGCCAGAGAAATGACTCTGGAGTGGAAACAGATTCCGACGGTAGTGCTACGATGAGTGTTGAATCTCCGAGGCTGCACCACCCCCAGGTTAATAGAATTCTCTGCATTCCGACTGAAGTTTCCGAGCGATGAAATTGAATAGACAGCATTCGAACAATTTCCTCCACGGAGGGAACATTCCAATTTAATTATTCCATCTCGGAACAGCTTGATGAGGGGATCACGGATGCTCCAGCAGCGGTGGAACTGCCCCCACAGGAAGTGAAGGTAAGCGGAAAACGTTTTCAACTTTAGCTAAGGATCGTGCTGAGATCGGAGCTGCCCGAACCTCTTCTGGATCGATCATCGCTCTCCAATCGAGAACACTATCGGCTGAGAACCTTGTGACTCGAGCCGGAGATTCAGCTCTCAGATGAATCTTCGATTCTATCTGTAGTTTCGCGGACAGTTCCTTCCTCCTGCGATCGCTCAGGTGGTGCTTGTTTCCGGGAGAGCTGAGAGCGAATTCATCTCCACCGAAACAAATACGCTCGAAATTTCGCGATACATGCAGATGTAGGGAAATGCGGCCGAGATGAAGGCATCGAGCGTTGCTGATCGAATATAAGCGATCAAGTCGGGGAAGTGATGCTTATTATACGAAATTCAGGCGGTGGAAATCCCGAGGCTCCAACAGATGGACACAGAAGCAAACGAGGAGAACCGGCCGTCCACGTCGCGGGCGGAGGCCGCGGCGATGCCTGCCGCTGGACGAGGGAAGACGATCGACCATCCACCGTCAGGCGGTCCTTCTACATCGGCGGTGAGTTCGTCTTGCGGAGGAACTCGGCTTCAAGTATCGGGATACATGGCATACGCATCCGCCATGTCTGTTCCGCGACTGGCGAAACCCGTGAAGTGAAAAGTGGACTTTAGGGGAAGGCTGGATCCTAAACGTGTTTCTCCAAAACCAGGGCGGTAAAATGCTAACGCGACACAACCGGGCCAAAGCACTCCGGACCCAGAGGATATATGACCGGCGGATCGTGCGAAGATGCGGTTGTGGTAGGTCTGGCAATATCGTAGGCAATCCGAGAGATGGCTCGGTCGATTTTTCCCGCCAGAGCCCCCGATGAAGTCCATGGATCTTTCACAGATCAAGGAAATCTCCTCGAAGCCGCTGCAGCCAACGATGTCGAGAAATGCAAGAGACTGCTGGACCGCGGAGCGAATATACGTATGGAAGACTCCCGAAAAAGGACTGCGCTGCATTTCGCTGCGACGCACCGGGGCAATGGTGATCTGGTTCGTCTGCTTCTGAGTAGAGGCGCAGATCCTAACAAGCAGGATATGGCTGGGAACACACCCCTTCACTTGGGTGAGTTGCGGAATCCGGTCGATGGAGGGGAGCTCCACGACCAGAGTTCTTGCTCGATGGGTGGAAAGAACGGGACAGTCCCCGAGTCTCCGTACAATCAATCGTCGTTGACGGAATGGGACCCGCGGGTTACTGATCTGATGATTTCTCTGGTTCTCAGCAATTTGTATAAACAACAGTCCCGCCACGCTAGAACTCCTGCGTCACGGCAGCGATGTGACAGCCCTCGATAGGTCCGGGCGGAATCCAGTGGAATTGGCCAAAAGTCGCATGAAGATCATTTTGGAAGCGAGTCGAACAAGTGAAGTGACGAATGAGGTCCGACAAGAAATGATACGGGTACGGCATCCTTCATTGTATCTTCAGGCGTTATGCGGAGATATGTACCTTTGCTCACATATCTCGCGACAGCATCTTCGAATAATTATCGAATCTCCCTCAGATGCTCCGATGTATACATTTGCACCTCAAGCGCAGAGGGGATACATCTGCCAATATCTTAGGATCGTTCCAAGAACGAATCTCAGCATCGACGTCGAGCAAGCAGTTCAGTTCGGATGTGTCCGATGTGCTGGCTTCGCTTCAGCATTTGCAACTGTAAATTCCCCATGGCCTCGTTCATTCATCTGGTCTCGTATCAGTCCTGGGAAGATGAGGCTTTCCGCACGAAAGTTTCCGGTGCACCGGACCGAAGCTTATGAATTCCTCAGCTTGTCATAATCGATAAGATACCGTTCTCGTGATAATAAATCATTTTTGGGAAGAAAATCTCTCCAGATACTCGGTAGCGCTTCTAGTTCTGACTCCTGGACCAAGTCGCGTTCAACCCTGCGGTATGGATACGTTCGGCAAGAATCAATGCGAGAGCAAACTTTCCCGTCGTCTTCTTCCCGACGAGCCTTCTGGAATGGATATTTAGGTAGGAAGAAAATATTCTCAGAGCCATCGTCTTCTTTCTACAGGCCTTTCGATCTCAAGAGACGCTCACTCTCGGAATCGAATAGTTTGCCTTAGAATCCCTCACCCATCTTCCGACGTATCTACAACGCTTTATTGGACTAGATTCTTCCTATTCAAGTGCCTCAATGAGCTCCACAGAGGATGCCTCTCGCTGATTCGCTGCCACCCATTCGCGGAATTCGGGACCGCGCTGTGGGCAGGACCGGGGAATCCCCGAGGCATCGACTCCAACTAGATATCTCAGCGTCACACCGCCAGGACCCAGCACCCAGCTTGGAAAAAATCGGTCTAAGGGATTTCTCACAAGGGTAGCACGTCGACTCATTCCTTTTTATTCTATGAAAATGTTGACTTGAACATCTGGACTCCCATCCACATAATATCATGACGAGTAAGGTCGTCGGTAAGCTCTCTCAATTCCTAAGGAGCTCCTTCGAATATATACATAAGAGATTCACATACTCCGATACTATTGGCAGTCACTGACGAGTCTGACTCTCCCGCTTTGACGGTTTCGTCAGCTGCTACCTAGACTTTATTTACACTACATGTATAAATGAGTTTATCTCAATCGCTAATTGAGAGCATCGAGCTCCGGATGCTTCACCGGGAGATCATGACACACGTTGTAATATGCATGATCGGGGAATCGTTCCAACTCAATATAATCATCTTTGCTGATGAGCAGCTTATCGAGCATGTGTGTGAGCTCCGTGAACGACGGTCTCTGACTCGGATTCGCGTCCCAACAATACGACATTATGTTGTAGATTTCGCGTTTGCAGTGATCCGGACGTTCGAGTCGATAACCGTCCCGAACCCGACGCATCACTTCGTTGGAATCCATCCCGGGATACGGTGAAGAACCTGCGGACAGAGAGGAAGAAACACAATGAACCTTCTCTTCTCCCGGCGCTGTCTTCAGCTTCTGACATCTCGTCTCTAATTATTAAGATTCGCCTCATTCATCGGACGGGAACCAACCGAGTGTGACGATTTCCCACAGCAGGACTCCGAATGACCAAACGTCGGTTTTGGTAGTGAAAATGTTATCAAACAAGGATTCGGGAGCCATCCAACGGACGGGTAATTTTCGGTTGGACTTCCGTTCATAGACTTGGTTCGATATAACGTCCCGAGCGAATCCGAAATCTGACACTTTGCATTGTTTGGTATCGGTCACGAGAACGTTGCGCGCGGCTAGATCTCGGTGGATGATTGCCTGCAATATTCACTGAGATGAATCTCCCGTCATGGTCCGACCGATAAGTCGAGACGACTCACTCACCGCGCCCGGGAAGCCCACGGGAACCGGTATCCGGGGAGCCGGGAGACTCCTCGGCGTGAGTGAGGTTCTAGTCATGAAAGCCTACTGGGAACAGAACGAGAACCCACTCACTGCCGAGGCGAGACCCGAAGGAACCGTGAGGTGGAACAACGGCGCAGCAACAGGATGTTCTCAACATCCGTTCTCTTCAACTTTCCTTCCGACGACTCGAGACAATCAACTTCAACAATCTATCGTAGGATGGAAGAGCTATCGACCAAGCAATGGGATTTTACCTTCGATGACAGATATTCCATGCCACGAGCCACTTGGTAGGCGAACTTCGTCAATTCCACAGACGTCAATGACGGTTTGGCGTTCTCTCCTTTTTCCGTCGGTCTACTCTCCCTCAGATAGGTTTGGAGCTTACCGAATCGGACGTATTCCATAATCACGAACAACGGATCTGGGAGAGGAGGAGAAAATGTAACTTTCGGGAATTCTCTCCTTCGCGGAATATTCGCGCAACTTCGAGCTGAAATCGATTGGAAGGGTACTAACCTTTTTCGGTGCAGCAACCGAGGAGCGTGACGATGTTGGGATGGGGATCCAGCAGTTTCATGATCGACAATTCACTCAAGAAGTCACGTTTCTCCTCTTGTGATGCGTTGTCTTTCAAGGTTTTCACTGCCACGGTGATCGAGGTGGGTTCTTTATCCGAGGCGTGCTGAACTCGCGCCTCACAAGCCCAGACCTTCGAAAGGGCGATCGATGTCAGGAAAGTCAGAATATTTTGCGCGGAACTTCCGAAAATACAACGAAGAGAATTCTTCCCTGATAACTCGACGGCGCAACTGAGAGGGAATATCGTCCGCTTAGGCTCACGAGAGATAATCTCACCTGTCCGAAGTTTCCTTCTCCCAAAATATGGGAGAATCTCAGCCGATGTCTCGGAAATTCACCCTTATGATCGGTCAACTGTAAACAAAGAAGCTCCGCTGAGTTTATTGAGCTCATTGACACCTCAGACCCAGCATCTGGTTTCACAGGATAATGACATCCCGGGACAGGTCCGCATCGAGCTTAAAATTCCAGGGCAAGGATCCGCCAGAAACTGAATTTTCGGGGCGACATCTCGCCTTTGCTCGCGTGTCATTCATATTTGCTCGCGACGACGACGAGCGGTGCTCGAAGGTGAACCATCGCGATCCGGCAGCCTATGCCATCGGGCCATTACGTCACGACGTCGCAAATCCTAGACCCCTCGTTGGACGACGAACAAAATCCAGTTCTGGTCTGATCAGGCGGAGATCGTCCGCAGCAGAGGAGAACTTCGAGACAGAACTCAATGACGAAGTAGGGGATACACAAGGGGAGAGGTGTCTATCTGCTAGTGATTCGCCGATATATTATTCGAGTGAGACCAGAGAGAAATCGGCCGGCACGGACTCCGCGGAATGGCAGAGCAATCAGCGCTTCCATGAGATAAGGCGCGATCACGCCCTCGATGGGCCTCGTTTCAGAAGGGAATACGATTCTTGAAATTCCAATGAAGCCTCGAGGTCTGTTTGGACTTTGGAAGGATATGACGGAGGGATAATGACGGTACGTTACGCTCCCCGATCCCGGAATGCCTGATCGGTACGGAGAGGGAATTTTCGGGTGCCATCCGAGAGAGGAAGTCCGGGGTCCGCTGGTCGCGGTGTCTTCACCACTTTTCGTTCGTTCGCTCGTGAGATGCTACTATTCATACAGAGTTCTGTGCTGTGATTTTTCTTCCCTCGCCGGCCCGTCCGTTCATCTGCTCGTCACTCGGACGTCGTTTCAATGTTGCAATTAACTTGATCGCCCATTGTCTTCCGCGGCGGGATCCCAGTACAACAGCTTGATCGGCGAAGCTTCGCTAAGCAGGCTCGGTCTTCACACGCGAACGAGCGCGCGGCAGCTGTTGACCCCAACGAACGATAACGGTGAGGTTGGAAAAATTCCCCAAACAAAGAAAAACATCCTGTCGCACTGATTTTCACCGTCTCGACCTTGTTCCGGGAGAATTATGTTGATGGAGAGTCCCTCTGACTTCTGTGACTCGACAACGGACGCGTTCAAATCACAATGTTCCTCAGTTGCGGGGAACGCCACAAGCACAGCGCTCACGCGGCTTTCGAGCAATCTACGATGCCAAACAAGAGCTGAAAAGCGAATAAATTCCACGGAGCTCGAGAGAAACTTACCGTACTGAAAACCTCTGCCGACTTGAGAACAGGTTCCCGTTTCTCTAACGCTACCACCCACGAAGGTTGTAGAGGTATCCGAGGCAACGCGATATCCTGAGCTTTTTCATCTCGGAACACACTGCTCTTTGTCTGTAAGCGGAAACGAACGGAGACGATGATCGCTACGAAGAATTGTCTCCGGCCCGGCGAAGTCAGCCCTCCCGTTCAACATTCGTCGCTGAGTAGCCAAGAATTCAACTCACGCATTTTATTCCTTTCTTGAAGGAGCCTCGGTGTTTCCTCGGATTGAAATAGTAGATTCCCGCGTAGACCAGTAGAGCACCGAGCCCAGCTAGCAGCGCGAAGAATAAAACCGCGAACGTCGGACTCGTCGAAGGAGCTCTGGTCCCCGGCGAAGCAGGATCCGAGGGCAGGACATTCGACTTGGGGAAGTCCGGCGGTAGTGGGACACTCAGATGAATCGGCTGATTGTCCACTGAGCGCGGAGGGTTGGGCGCTGCGTTGAGTTCCTCTTTGCGTTCGATCGGGGATTTGTGCGCGGATCGGACAATCTTCACACTGACCTCCATCTTTGCCTGATGGTGGCCATCGTCAGCCTTGACATACATGTAGTAATCTTGACCGCCGAGCCCTTCCAGGCTTTGTTTGAGGAAGACCTCCCCGGTCTGAGGATCGATCCGAAAGTACTTGGACGCATCTTGGAACAACGCTGCTCCTAAGCTGAAAGTGATCGGGTCTCCGTCGGCATCGAGGGTGCGGACAACGAACACCCGATCTCCGACGCGGTGGTCTTCATCTACGATGCTGTCTCTACGTGACACGAACGACGGGGGTGTATTGTGTCCATCGAATGAAACGGCTCCTGGAAAAGTATAACTGTTTGTTGTCAAAATATATTAAACAGTGAGCAGTCGAAAAATCGCCCAGATGAAAGCGAGTTCCCGGTAAACATGCATGGCCGGGGACGGAACGCCTTCGCGTCTCTCCGGCAGCGCGGCGTTCGGAGGGCCAGGGGACTTGGAATGCACTTCATATTCGGTCCTAATGTCCCGAAGTCTCCCGAACGAGGTCCAATAATATCCCGACACCTCGCGGAAGCGGAGGAAGTTTTGTGTCATTGCGGGAATGAGGAAGAAAACCGCGGTTTTTGAAGCACTGATGCTTGCGCGTTTTTGGCCCGCTTCCCCGACTTTCATCTCTAGCCGGTTTTCGACCGAAACACGTCCGCGTCTCCCCGCAAACAGCGGAAACGTTGTCTGTGGTGGTTGTTTCGCTATTCTGGTTTCAACGAAAGCAAATCTGTGCGCTGCTTTCTGTAGCAGTTGCAAAAGAGTGAATCCGAACGATTTCTCGCACTGTTGACTACTCGCGTGCCTCGATCGGCGAATCGCGGCTGGAGCGGCAGGTCCCCCGTAAATTATTAGGGGAAGATTTTGAGGAAATCGCTCTGACGAAGGTTTCCGATGACCATTGAAAGAGCGCCACGATGCCCCTTACGGATGTGCGCCTTCAGGGGGCCCCAAACGTTGCCGGAGCCGAGCACTGAAAGCCCCAGCCACGTAAATGATTCACGTCTTTGGACACCGTTCCCGGGACAATACGAAGTACGGAACACAGCAGAAAGAAGACAAGCAAGATAAGTCCGGGCTCCCTTTCGTCTGCGCATTCTGATGACAACGGAGGATAATCGCGATACGACGAAACGAGAAATTTCTTTGCGTCTTCAAATGTATCCGATCTCTTGGCCCACTTTGTCGTTTTCGAAGCAGATTCCCGATTTTGACCATATTAGGATCGGGAGCGTGGTTGCCGTTAAGGTCTGATGACAGGGCTCGCGCGGCCGATCCGACTGAAATTGATTTAGAAATTGCTCCCGCTCCGACACCGGATCTTCTCGGGAAGCTTCTTCACATTTCGTTCATCCACGAACTCGTATGTTCAGGGATAGTTTTTCGTCTGTCTGAGAATGTTCCTATGTTGTGTGACTATATTGTGGAAAGGCGATGAGAATTTCGAGTCGCTTGTCGAAAAGAACCCTTCCCCAGCCCGAGCGCTACTCCCAATGGTGCTCTGATCTAAACGGACAGCTACCGGAGCAGAGAATAAATTTAACAGTGCGGAGGTCCCCGGCTCCGGCTGTTGTTTGTTCGTTGCCTAAGATTAATCAAAAGAAGAACCATGTCCCCAGCGACTACCAATTACGGATTCGGCGCATCTCGGCAGCCGACTTTTTGAAAGCCCATGGATTCTGCGTCCCTCGAGGCGCTCATTGCGGAATACAATGTTCCCTGAGGTTCTCAGAATATATGTCGGAACGAGCGCTCTTTCGTGAACGATAATGGAAAGCGAGCTCGCGGACAGCCATGGGAGTTCCGACAAGTGACAGAAAGCGCTACCCGCTCACCCGAAGTGCTGGGCGACCGAGTGCCGACTTTTGACTTCTCCGAAAAACGATCCGGCCTCACGGTTTTCTCCCGGTTCGAGCTGAAGCTCGTTCAATCCCAATTGTGAAAATCCCGGAACGCTTTGCGCATGCTCTAGTAACTGAGCACAATGACACGCGGGACGACGGCGCGGACCATCATCGCGATGTCGACCGCTTCTGAGCGCTGGACAAGAGCTAACCAGCCCCAACAACGCAGAACAACAAAGTGTCGAGCTACAGGCCGCTTGTCCGGTGCAGCCGGCACAGTGCTTGCAGCCGGACTGAGTCGAGCCGCTGCCTGCCACGGTCGTCTCATGGAAACCCTGGACGACTCGACGACAACGGATCGCCAAGGAAGCACTCACCCTACGAGCTAGCGAGCGGATGAAGAAAGCGACGACGAGCAAGAGAGCTCCGGCTTCTACAATACGACGACGCTTTCCGCCGGACAAAGCCTCATACATTGACGTCGATTCTCGAGTCACACACAGACGCTCGCACTCGAGTAATCGTCGCCGCAACCCATTTGGAAGCGACAGAAAACGTTCGCTCGCCACGTTCAGTCGGAATTCTACTCCGAGGCTTCAGCTCCAGAGGGTCGCCTCAGAAGACCATAGAGTGTGGAGGATGGCCAGAGGAATCTTGAACGCTCCGCAGGTCTCAAAGAAATCCGGAGAAGCATGAAGTTCCGAGAACAATCGAGATCTGACTCTGGCCGACGACAAGTATTTTGTGGATTGAATTGTGAGAGGACAGAATTTCGAGGGCTGGCAATTCGAGACTCACGTAGGACACTCAGCCGGGCGATAATGTTCGTCTACCAGTTCCGGCAAAACTACCGATTACGAAAGAGTCATCGCTTGTTTTAGGATAGGAGTAGAAAAAATCACCGGAACCGACCGTGTGACAGTGCTTCGGCGGAAATCCCAGAAGCCAGATGTGCGACTGGCGTCCCCCTGACGGTCATCACAGTCGAGCGTATCGCGTCAAATCGCTGCCGTACCCGTTTCAGAAAGATCCGGGAGCAGCCAGTTCTGTCGTCCCGTAAGTTGTGTATTCTCCGCTTCTCGTATTTACTGTTTCGGCTTCTACAATTCGCTGTAGCCTTTTCCTTACGGTGCCAGATCTTCTTCACAATCGCGGCACGCTCCAGAGATACTGAGGGTCGAGATCCTCTGTGGGAACGACGCCGCCGCGATGTCCGCTTCGATTCCCGCATCGCGGAACACAGAAGTTCTTCACTCGAGAACAGATGTCATCAGTAACTTTCAGAGCATCTGGTAGAAATCAGGTGATTTATTCCGACGGAGAATCTTTCGACGGCTCTCGGGTTCTACGATATATTTTCGGACGCCGCTACGATCCCAACCTCCGTGCTGGCGCACTGACGTCCGCACCAAACTCGGTTCCCGCAGAATGGGATGGCACGGATCAACGGTCAAGTGATGGATGAAGGTCCGGAGTCCTCATGCAAAACGACTGGGTCCCCGAAGAGGATCGATCCGAATCCTGAGCGAAGCCGAATAATTCGCGAATTCACGGTTTTCACCACCAGAGATCGAGAGTTCGAGAGCTCATCTCAGCACGGACCCCTTCGCCACCAATGACTTGACGTCCGTCATCCTGAGAATCCCCCGGGCCGGCAAACGTTGCGCATGTCATCCGAAGCTTCAACGTTCGTAGGATTTCTAAATAATTCTTGAGCCATAAAAACGAACATCGTGAACTTTCACGGGATGTCGCTCGATGACGAACAATGGCTCCAGTGTGGAAGACGTCCGGATGACTTAGCTTCAATTGGAATAAACTGATAGTCGTATTCGTCGTCATTCGAAACATCAAAAATGAAAAGTTTTCGATGGAGCCAAGCTGTTCTGCTCAGATCTAAGTCACATCGACCCTGCCGAAGTCGTTTGATATGGTGCAGCTGGCTCCTCGTGTCTGTCAAGCATCGACGAAGTTCTTTTTCTGCGATAGCAGAAGCAACGACGGCTGTCGCACAAGCGTTTGACGTTGGAAACTGCCGAACACCACCGTCATCGGAGGAAGAGAAGAAAGCAAAAAAAAAGAAGAACATCCCCACAAGACGACGCCATTGTAGTGATTCTTGCTGTCGCCAGGCTCCGCTCATTGACCGAGACATAATCGATGCGGCCGTTGCTGCGATAAGGCGGTCCAATGAGGGAATAATAGCATCGCAGTCGGTGTTTGACAACATTTTACGAAGCGACTGCGCTCATCTCTGTTAGCGGGTCGAAGTCTGAGAGATATCGCTTCCCGAGTTGCGGGCACGCTCTTCTGCCGAATACAGTTTTCGAATAAAAGCGGAACAGGCCTCAAGATGACGATCGGATGGTAACGGTTGAGCGCATCGCAGAGCTATTCTCACAAAACTTCCGGCGATGCATCTCACGACTTCACCTGTTGTTCTAAGTCGTGGACGAGTTTCTAGGAAATTCTCAAGTGAAAGTTTATGAGAAGGGATCCTAATATGATCGTCAGGAAGAGCATCCCGGCCAACGTCGAACGCGCTGCCGCGGAGGCGGAGGAATCGTCTAGCCACATCCAGGATGTGAAGGTCTCTGAAGCTTGATTCAGAGATCATCAAATTGTAAATTCGGGAGCTCTCAAGGGAAGACGCCCACTCATCTTGCGGAACGTCTCTCGTTCAGACCCTACTTCTGAGGAGTTTTCGACCCCAGCATGGACTCGGGGACTTCTTCTTCTCCTTATGAATACCCTCAAGGACTCCGTCCTGGACTTCTCCGTCTCATGCAAGGAAACGAGGTCTCTATCACTTACCCCCGACGAAGAGTGCCAGGCAGAGAGGCACGAGGACACTCATCTTCCTCCGAGTTCACCCTTTCTTCTCTTCATCTCAATCAGGTTCTACATCGCGCCCATGATTCCGCACCCGATCAGCAGAACACAGCTGTCGTCTGCCCCACGGTCGCGCAGGATCTTGTCACCTCTGCCGACCAGTTGTATGTCCTGCAACGATTGTCACGGGGCGACGGAGCGAGCGATAACGAAAAAACGACGGCGTAGACTACGACAACAGCAGCGTGAAAACACTTGTTCAAGTCCTCGGTCGTCCTTCGGTCGAAGCAAAATGGCTTCTCCCTTTGGCGTCGTCGCTGCTGAAGTGCCGCCACGTCCCTCTCGGTTGTCGGCTACCTTCTCATTCTTTTACAGGCATGCAGTCAGTCAGTCGGCTCGCTGGCTGGCCGGCCGGCTGCTTGGCCGTTCGTTCGCTTGGTCGGAACGTATGGATCTCTCTCACCGTTTACGGACACCAGGCAAGCAACAACGGACACCGGGCGTTCTACGCGAGAGGCTACTTCGTTCGACGTTCCTTCTCTCCTCAGTCTGGATTTGAACTGAAGTTGAGGACCACAGACGAGAGGGAAGGGAATGGGGCTCCGCTTTTCAGTGAAACAGTGACGCGACGATTCACGGCACAAATCTCTGCTCGACATAAGCGTCGAGCGACGGGGAATCCCGGAGAGAGGATCCCTAACCCGGAAGATGGATTGTGCCCCTGAGATTGAGCTCGAGGTCGATCCCGTGTCTTGCGCCAGGTCTCACGATGTCGGAATCGGAGAAATCGGATGCCCTCAGTGTCCAGTTCTGTCCGACGGCAGCGGTCTCACTCACAGTCAGACGGATAGCGGTTCTGATTATTAAAACAGGTGCTCAAATATCCCCCGGTCTTCACGCGTAGGCTCACTCTGGCGTCTCGGGGCGAGACAACTTCGTTCGACAATCAAACAGCGGGCAAGAGAGAAGATTCCAACCGACCGATAACCCACCGAACAGAGCGGTGCGTACAGCCATGAGGATCTGCGGAGATTAGCTTGAAGACTTCTCGCGCGGCGCTAGGCCGCATCCGGAAGCCAGTATCCACAATACCTACAGGGTGTCAATTTGAACCCGCCGTCCGCAGCGATCTTACGAGAACGGGGGAGCTCCCATGGGCTCCCTGCTCTCCTTGGACACAGTTAGCTTGAGCCCTTGCTGATCGGACTCTGAGGCCTTTCTCCCGCCCCCTTAGAACTTTGTCGACACCGACGGGGCGGAGAAATCCCAGTGAGTCGATTTCAGGTCCAGCATCAGGGAATCCTGAATCTGAGTCTCCTTGCTTTCAAGGAGATGGACCTCCACATCGCCCGACGGTCTTGTCATGCAACGCGCTTCTCAAACGTTGACAATCTTCTATAATCTGCGCGAGATCGCACTAGCTCGGCCTGTGGAATACCCCGCGATCTGAGCACTCTGGTGAGCACAGATCGAAATCACTGAGAACCTGTCGGGCCAACAATGGAGGTCGGTGACATCCGTGAGTTTTCCACGCAGTGGGATTCGCGTCACCCTTATGTGCACGACTGAAGACGGTCGGCTCTACCGCTCCGGCTATTATACTGACTGAGCGAATGAAAAAATGGCATGCTGGTCCATCGCTCGGCTCCTCGGTCCGTCGACTATCTGAAAGGCTGACAGAGAGTCCCCGATCGAAGTGATTCGTTGATTCACATTCGGAACTGGCGCGATCAGCCGCGCTTGGCCGCGAACTAGCCGAGCTGCTTGTGCAAACCGGCCGTCGTGTTACCTCGTTCTGTCGACCACTTTCTGTGGGCGGCAGACGGTCGTCGCTTTTTGGCGAGCTCCGTGTTGCCACTATCTTTATCGCTTTTGTCTATCGAATTCCGTTAGCAAAGTTCACCGAGGGCTGGAAACTCGTAACGGCTGCGCAGGGGACTCCGGCAGAAGGAACCGATCTGTATGAGATCTACGCTTCGCTCGGAGTGTACTTGGGCTGTCGGCGCTCACTGCGCGCCGGGCAGGTGCGATTTCCCTATTCTACGCTCTTCGAATGTGCCTGAATCAAGGTCCGCGATCCACTGAGCAGCTGCAGGCGTAATTGGCAAGCTTGAGATAAATTTGGTTTCCATGAGCAGGATCAAGCTTTTGCCGATGATCGAACTTCAAGGGTCGAATGAGAACTCCTTGAGTGAGCCTCGGCTCTGGAGGATGATCCCGCTTCACCGAACTGTATACGGGACCGTCGACGATATTTGAGGCCTCATTCATATTGGAACGACATCCATAGAGCGCGAGCGCGCGACGAAGTCGACTAATAGCAGAGCATCTCGGAGTGTTCGCGCCATGCTCCAAAATGGCTTTGATTGGACTTTTCGCTATCGTACAGTCTCTGGAACCCTCCCTCGATCCTGAATCCTCGACAATTCATCCCCGCGTTTGCCTTACGAAGAGCGCGCTCCCATGCTGAGTCCGTCAGGGGTCGACGGTGAGCCTTGCGGAGCTTTCCACAATTCCCGCAATTTTCCACGAGATCCGCGAATCTGCAGATCCCGGATTCGTGGATACAAGTGCTCCCTAGCTGCGGGGAACTTTTGCCGCACACATACCTGTGGATATCGATTTATCCTATCTATATGTACATTCAGCGAATCCAGTCGGTCGCGGCCGCGAAAACCTTGGGTACCGGATGTGCGGATCTGGAGCCTTCAGAATCCTTGTATCGACGAGATTCTATTTGACGTGACTCGCCCCATCTCCTCAAGCTCGTTTCATACAGGCTCAAAATTAGTCAAGTCGTCCAAGGTACGATTCCGAGTGCTGAACCCGAGCTCCCGCGGGAGTAAGCAGCGGGGACTCGGCACACGGCTCGCAGCTGCGTGCGAAACTCTCGGTATAGGGAAGCTTCGGCTAGCGTATCCGGCAGGTTGATCCACCCCAATGAGCACCGTTCCTTGACGTCCGATCCAATCATGTGCATGGAAAAGGTACCAAACGATCGACGGTCTGAGTTCACCCGGTATGGAAAAACTCGATGGGGAGAACGCCGGATGACTTCCTCTGAGAATGACAGAGCCATCCGTAATGAACACCGACCCGTAGATTGATCCGAAGTGTAGCACTCCTGAAGCGAGTGTCCCTTACTATGATGTGAATGACATCATAGCGTCGCTGACTCGAAGGTTACGACTTCCTGCTCATTGTCGCTCTGGCTTGAGAGGTCCCGGATAAGCTCTCGGCTCAATGGCGACTCAATGGTGAAGATTCCCTTCCGCTTGTGCTAACGGCGAGGATGCCAAGAGGAAGGGTGTAGTTCTCACCGAGCGCTACATGGGATGAAAATCAGTCTCACTCGAGAGCGAACTTCTTACATAAACAGGATCAATTCCTAACAAGATGGTCCCGATGATGATCTTCTCACGGGTCAATCGTGACATTTTCCGCAGACTTGCTGTCACAAAGACAAGGGATCACGACGAGCATGACCAGGAGGAGGGGGGAAACCCGCCCCGTGGGCCACCGATCTAGGGTCGCTGTTTAGGGGATCGGAAACCAACGAACGGAGTTTTCTGCTGTCGAGATTCTCGGGACGGGGCCGATCCGGGTTGACATGCCGGGGAGAGGCAAGTTCCGCCCCGGGCGCCATCCTAGCTATGCCGCTGAGGGTCACTGGTGCTTGAATCGAAGCCATCAGAGAACGAGGAGCTCGGAACGATCCCTCGGCGCTGTAGCCTGTCATTGCCCTCGTTCCGCAGCTCACCTGCTGACTAATAGCTCCACCTGATTCTCTGTAATCAGTGCTCTCGGAGACTACAAGAAGCTGACGTGGCCATGACACTAACCACGACCTCTAGAAATTCTACGGGAATCGACATGCGGGATTCGAACCAAGAAGCGATTCACATAAAGTCAATCTCACAGCCCTGCTTCTCCGAGTTGGCTCAGGGCTTGCACTGGTCGATCGACTTCAGGGGCGTGGCGAGTATGTACTATGCTACAGGGGCTAGCATGTGAAACAACGGCGAGAGGTCGAATTTCAGGAACACTAGCGCAGAGCATGATCGAATTGTACTACACGGGGAACGAGACCAGGAAGCAGGCTGCCATAAAGTCTCCCGAATGCTCGAGGAGCTTCGCCGAGCTTGTGTCTCGCTCCAGTTTCCACGAGATGACCTTAGTCGCAGCTATGCGGCTGCGGAGAGAAGCAGCAGCGCCAGCTTCGACAGGATAAATCCGTGCCGTCCGGCCCGAGGCGAATCTTGCATCCCTTCTGCGATATTTCTTGCAGTCGCGGACTTCTCATAGTGACTGATGAGACGATAGCCCGCTCCCCGGCTGTGATGCCCTTTCGATGAGCATCCCATGAGGCATTCCCTCCTCCCCTTTGAGAGTTTCTCCCAGAGGGAGACTTGAATTTGTTCCGAATTCCGAAATAGCAGAGTTCGAATGATTATATCAAAATTATAGTATTATCATCAGGTATCGAATTATCACGCTCATGCTACATACAAGGCCTCCCGCAACATGTGAACGGAGCTTTGAGGGGAAACTCGGCTATCGAGGAATCGCGCCCCAATGCTGGTATAAGGGTTCGATGTGTCCGGGGATGCCCAGAGATAACCTGAGACATACCCAGAGAGATCTACAACGTCGAAACTCGACATGCCCGGCCGGCGAGCACACTCGGATCAAAACCAAAACACGGTCCCTGCACTACCAAGTCCGCGTGGCCTAATGGATAAGGCGTCTGACTTCGAATCAGAAGATTGCAGGTTCGAGTCCTGTCGCGGACGGTATTTTTGAGCATTTTCTTTATTCGTTGTCACCTCCTTTTCTTCAGCCGGCAACGTCCGAGACAGAAATCAGTTGTTTCCGCCAATAGGCTTCCTAGTTTCCCCAGCGTCGGCCGAAGGGTAGCGTGGCTTGCTCGCCGCCGCACCGAAGGAGCCTCCGCTGGCCCCGGAATCCGGACCCGGCAGAAGCCCGCATACCCCGACCGGGCGTGAGGCTCGCGACGATAGATTCATCGATAACTGATCCTCTGAAGCTGATCGATAAGACGACGCATTCTTCATTGGAACTTGAGTACACCGCGTCCCACGCCAGTGCGCGCATTGTTTTCTGGGTCCCTGCTGGCGTTTCGCGTGGTATCGAAGCGAGTGGAAAGGGTAGCTCCGGTCTCTCAACTCTTGGCGGCAATGCTCAAATATATACTTGGCGGCCCTCTCCTCGGGCTGGCTGGTCCTCGGTGTTATCGTGCGGCCTTCCTTGGAACTGGTACTCCACTGCTCATCGAGGTGTCCGTGATCCGTGAGAGATCCTGCTGGACCTTGATGGCAAAATGATAGTTCTGCTGTATGAGCGATGCCGGCTCGAAACGCTGTTCCAAGATAATTTGGCAGGAGTTTAAGAAAAGGCGACGAAGGTATCCAGCGAAAATCTGTCAGAACCGAATCATCACCGGAAGGGGGATGCTAATTGGTAAAACGGGTTGCCTGCAAATATTGCAAGAGGAATCTTCTCCGAGAGAATCATATTGAATCCCTCCATCTGTCACAGGGTGAGCTCCAGGTCACTATCGTGATGCGACCGTCAGAATCGACAGGCTCCAGGATTTCCCTAATGTACGGACAAGCATAGTCGTTCACGTCAAAATGATTCTGTTCTCCTGAAGAGCCGCTACCATATAAGTGCTCAATCGGAATTCAGGATCGTACTCGAGGCCTGAGAAGTTTTGGGACTCCATTCCGGGCGCTGAATTCATTTTCTAGGAGGGAAGAATCTATAACGCCTGAGTTCATACTGTCACACTGATGGTTGGATCAGTGAGCGAAAAATCACACTAAGTTCACGATTCGAAGTCTCATTCTTTTTTATTGTCGTTTCTTTTTTACTTCCTCCCTTCTAATAATTTATTTTCCCTTACCCCGCTCCCTACCAATGAATGAATGTCACAATCGCACGATTCTCCGTTCTGACCCCGTACATTTCAATGTATGATTCGTCTTCTCTATTGCACACCTCTTCGTGTTGAAACTTATTGGTTCAGCTATGTTTTTCTTCCCCTCGACCTCCCGACTTCGGCCGTGTCATATTATGAATTATTTACTCTATTCTCCGAGCTCGCAACGTCAGCTCTCTTCAGGAACCTCGATGAGTAGTTTCTGTCTTTCCGTGGGTTCGATGCGCCAGCGGGCAGACGTATTCCCGAGGTCTACATTTACACTGAGCTGACCTCGGACGACGATTTTCGTCCTCTAATCTGTACAGGAGCTGACCTCAACTCGTCGTCGCATAGATGACTCGGGACTGTTCGAGGTAAGGTCAGCGTAATCGACGGGATTGGAGAGTTTCAACAACCCCCCGGGCGAGAATTTATCTTCGCTCTCTGATATGCCATCGATTCGAGTATAAATCACAATCACAATAGTATGACCAGTTACTCTTTTTCCGCAGTCAACTCTAGTTCCGGGAGTATGTCCTCCTTGAATTAGCTATGGATATTTACATTTATTTCTCCTATTCAGAATCGAACGTTGATGATTTGAGATCCTTAACTTCCATCCTCAATGTCGTTTGCATACGATGTCTGGTCACTTCGCGAGATAATCCCTCCCGATCCGACGCGCGACGTGAAGGGAAGAACAGGAAATAGCATGATAAGAAGACGTCAAGGGTCGACGAGGGAGTCTCCAATCAGCTATCGACTCTCGACGATATAGTCAGCTTTTCCTCGAGTATCAAAGTCTAACCTCCACAAGCAGAGAGCAAGGGAACTCGCATGTATGTACAGTCTCTAAATAATGCCCAGGAACGTGCAACGCACTCCAAGATCCTGTTTGGGACTCTAACCCGTGCTTGAGACCGAGCGCTGCGTAGTGCCAGTAGGAGGAGAAATTCCGACGGAACTAGGGTATTTCCCAGAGAGGGCTCGCTCCTCTGATTGGGAAAGGGTCAGCGATCGGCGGGGGAGTATATTATGGATAGGCTCGTGCGTCCATCGTCGGTATCATCCTCCAATCATCGAGGAGCGCGTTCCAATGTTATACATGATGTAGATCGCTGCTGGGGAGTACAAAGCTCTCCTCAGGGAAAAGGAGACAGCAACAGCGACGGGAAGCTATTCCCAGTGAAAGATGCTCCGATAGCGGACGTTTTCCTCCTTAACTCATCCCACACGGGAGATTTGTGTAAACTTTTCTCGTACGTCGAGAATCGTCGAGTGACAGCACAAGGCGTCAGCGTCGTATGATCCTTATGAGCGAGGGGGCTTCCTTTCTTTCTATGATCACTCCTCTCTCGAAAACGAATAAAGACATGAGAGGAGGTATCGAAGGAGAACGACCTCGCGCTTCCGCCGGATGGTCATTTCAAGCGTAGGAATGTCTGTCTCGTTCTGTCCTCTTCATCAAGCCTGCTCCATTATTGGGATCCGGTTTACTGTACACGAAAGCAGCAGGTGATGAATCGCGACCTTCCTCTAGGAGTATGGTGTAAACGCGACGTGGATAAATTACTGGCAATGGGGACTTGTTGTGGCGTATTTCGAGAAGCCTCTCTAATATGCTCGACGTACCGTATCTCTCCTAATCGGGGGACTCCCCTCCATATCCGAACATCCCGTCCCTACCGGGCAGCGAGCGCGGATTCGCGCAATATAATTCCATAATAGAATAAATAATTAAGGGGGGAATGGACAAGAAGTTCTGCCATTCTCCCTTATGATGGATGAATTCCTTAAATAATAATTAGAGGGTGTTGATAATAAATAGAAGCGGGCAGAATCCGGTCGAACAGGGCCCCTGAACGACGGGAGAGACCGGCACCCTCTTCTCGAGGGCAGCAGCCTCATCCGAGAGAGGATCAGGAGCTGAGAGTCCCGGGAAATGACGGGAGATACGGTGAGTACACGGGAGCAGGAGGAGCCGACTCCACTATCAGCTAGTTTTAAAGCCGAGGAGAGGTAGGTATTTCGCAGTGGAGATGAATTCCAGAGCCCATTCGAGGGATGCATTGATCCATCTCCGGAATCTCAAGCGTACTTCCCCTCGCTCTGGATGCTCAGCACGTTCATTTTTCGAACAAACATCGTAAGCTCCGATATATTGCATTAAGACGGAAGTCTCGGATGATTTGTGGAAGATGAGTCCGGTCTCTAGTCCGGGATAGAAATATGAATCCTAATTATAAACTAACGAAGTACAATTTGTTGAGGATTTTCAGAAAAGCTCCTGAAAAGTGGTTTCAACGGTGACCTCAAGTGCTTGTTGCTGTGCAAAGTCCAATGGATTGGATGTTGAGACTGGAGACGGAGAGTCAGTCACCATTGGTGCAACCGGATCGTGATTCCGGAGATTGTTTCGTCGCCATTTCGCGCGCGCGTTCTGAAACCACACCTGCCGGAAGGAGGACATTGAGCATCACCGAATTTCAGAGCGACAGGTTGGAATGTCCGCAGAGCATATTTAGCGGAGGGCTGGCCTCAAAAAAATTACCTGCAGAACCCTTTTGGAAAGGCCTGTCTTTTGCGCCAATTGCTTGAGGTCTTTGGCGTCTGGGTTTTGGTTGATACCAAAGTAAGTTTTCATCGTCCGGAGTTGATGATGCTTGAACGAGGTCCTCATACGCTTCGTGCGTTGCTGTCCAGACAGTTGGAGTTTGTCTCCAAGACTGGACAGGGGGCTCAATGCTCCTCCGGGAGACACCTGGCACTCCATTTGCCCTGCAACTGGAAAGGGAAATGTCAGACACGTTGGCTTCAGAACGCGCAATGACCCCGAGGAATATGTTGATGATTCCGAGTCCCATCCGAGCTAGTTTCCGGGCGGCCCGCGAAAGGTAAAAGTCGAGCGCACGGAAAAATATCGAATAAAACACCCAACGGGGAGCAGAGCTACCCGAGGAAGCTCCAATTCGAATCGAATAAGTCCGGCCACAGAACAACAGCGACGCGGCCTCGGAAGCTCAAAATGACACCGGAATGATAGCACGGAAAGCTGTTGGGATTCGTGAGCAAGCTGAAAACAGGACGGTCACAAATCACCCTTCTTTCGAATTTTGCGCTCATCATCCCATCGGACTCAGTTTACATTGCTCGCTCGTTCACCATAGAGCTTTCGATTACGATGTCGACGACGACAGAAACATATAAAAGTGGTCGGCACATATTTCAAAGTTCTCTTTTTAGTCTTGTTCGTTTGTTTTATGTTCTCAGCCGCCGGTGGAATCAGTGCTTCGCTCGCTCTGACGGCCTAACTGACTGACTGGTTGCCTATACCGATGACTGTGTATAAAAACGTTCCCACGCCCTGTGTTGCTCTCGGCTTGTAGAAAACTAACGAGACAAGCCGTGCGCGGGAGCTCAAAAAGAGAAAGAAAGAAGTCTCTCCTCTCTCCGTTTCGGAAACCACCCTGAGTATACGCTGCACTCACACCCGAAAAAATAACATCGAACCCCGATGGGGGATCGATGTTCGCTCCGGCATAGGGAATAGTCAAAGACACGATATGACCCGATTGAATCTGTCTGTTCATCTCGGGGGAACAAGCCTCAATGTATGTCTTCGCTGAAAGGTTACTCCGATCGAACGGAATTTCGACGCGATCGGAGAAGAGAGGACAGGCTACTCAGAGTATCGAACTGCAGCGAATTCCCGCAGTCGCAATTCGAGAAACTTGAGGAACTCATGGGGTTCGAGAGCCGAGGCGAAAATCGCGTGGATCCCGTATGCTATCGACACACGGTCGCCCAGGTAGTCAAGTCGTTCCCCATCGAGACAGCGCATATGTTTTTTCGCGATGGAAAAAGAACATTCTGAAGGTGTTTCCACGGCAGCTTTAATTCTACACCCGAGCCATCCTTCGACGCGAGCACATCGACGGGCCAGCCGTCGATGCATAAATGAAGCTTCCAGGTGCCTCCTATGCTCCCGTAACGTAGAAGCACCTGTAGTTACGCTACCCAGTATTTGTGAGCTTCCATCGATGTTGGAAGAATAAATATTCAGCGGACCGGCGTCGAAAAAATTACCTTGAAGGGTTTGCAGTTCGTGCTCTGACTCAATCTTGCGTTTTCGGGGTCTCCCTTTCTTCGCCGGTTGTTGCTGCTGTTGCTGCTGCAGCGGAGACTGATTCGGCGAATATTGTTGGGGCGAGATGGGAGTTTCGTGGATATCCTCGAACTCCGTCGCGGGACCCAGCGAAGTTGTCAAGTCGCCTTCGGCGGAGATCGCCCCGTAGTGGAGGCTGCAGTATACGAGTTGATCGCGAACTCCTGAGGTTCGGAAGGGAAATAAACGTTATTAGAAGCTAGAAATTATTTGTTGGGATTCTAAAAAAAAATCGTGCCGCAGAGGGAGATGCTTACCGAAGGTATCTCCTCGTGAGAGCGGGATATTGCACCAAGCACAAGTGAAGCAGTGCGTATGGTAGACGTAGTCTCGTACGCGCATCACCAGCTCCGTGGAAAAGATGCCTATATTACATCGAGAGCACGGTCTCAGGGAGAACAATCTGTAAGCAAAAATTCATAGTAGAAAGTTGCCGGATTTTTCGAGCAGATCAGCCGATTCGTAATTTCATCGGCGGCGCTTCTGACGGATCGAGCCGGCTGTTGGCAGGTGAGCGGCGGCGCCGTTCCCAGCGCAAAGTCAATAGGATTGATGCTCTACATACAAACAGAACGAAGATTCGGACGTTCACGGTTTAAACTATCTTAAGACTCTCCACACACCAGCCGGTGATGACCAGCGGAGCGGAAGAGATAAACGCGAGCGGCGACCGCGAACGCTATCTTCAGCATCCATAGAGTTACAGGGAGTTGAGTGGCACGCCAGCAACTTGAGGAAATCGTAAAACAAACCATTTTAAGATGGCTCAGAATGAATCAGACTGAAGTAACTATCTTGAATCGACCAACCGCGTAACTAACTCCTCCCGAGGTGGTTCGTTGTACCATCCGCTTTGAGCTGTTTCACGGTTTCCGTTTCCGCCCAGCTCATCTGTTTGACTTCGGCATTCTCTGCTCTCTTTGTTGCTGCTATCTGAGTCTCGATCCGTTTCGCTCCCTTCAACTTGCAGGTGAAGGAGTGAGTACAGAATTAATCTACCGAAACACTTTCTGCCTTCGGTGGTTGGTGGGTTGATTGATTGATCGATGGATGGATCGAGTGACCGAGCAATGCGGGAGAAGACCTCATTAGCTCATTAGGCGAGGAACTGTGTAGCATTGACGAATGAGCATCGGACCTCAAGCAAAATCTGCAGCGACCAATTAGCCGATCCATGGCTGCTGAGGTGGTTTACATCTCAGAGGACACGACTGCTTGCCAAATCCAGAATCAGCTTCTGAAAAATCGCTTTCATGGGCGACAACGAGAATGAGGAGGAAGGACGTCAAGCTTGCTCCATTCTCGAAGATACTCGTGGCAACTCGTCAGCGAAATCACTGAGCGGGCGCATCGCATTCAGGTAATCTTTTTTCGATTGCGTCATGTTCCGTCTGCACTTCGATTCCTTTCGTATTGTCCGCCCCCACGCATAATGCGCGCGAGGAACATGGGCGAATAAAAAAATGTTCGTTTTGGCTTTATATTCGGCGAAAATTCTGGCGAAGCCTTTATTATGTGGACTCAGACAAGCTTCTCTTTCTCTTCGTGAATCCGTCCGGTCGTCTTCTGTCTGGCGCTGCTAATCCCTGCGCGCTGAGACTCTCGTATCAAGTTGACCGTTCTGGATCTTCGGTCGAAAATCTTCACGAGGCACTATGAAAAAAGTCAGCCATTTTCTGAACAGCCATGAGTCCTCTTCTCTCATCAAGCATTGAGTTCGCGACCGACTCGAGGCATCAGAATACATCAAGACGCGTTTCGATCCTCAAAAGGAGTATTGACGGCACTCCGAGACCCACGCAGGAGACTGTTCGGTGGGGTCTCTCGACGTTACATGCCGAGAAACGTGACACAAGAACGCAAACATTGAACTGTTGAGCACTCAGTCAGTCGAAACTCGAAACTAGCCCAGGTATCGAGAGAGATCAACAAGAATGCGGAGGGTCATTCGGGAACACGTAGGAGAAGACAGGTTGATGAGAGGGAATTAATCCATTCATTCAATGATTCCTCCCCTATTTTCGCGGTAGAGCTTCGCGGGACCCATTTGACAACCTTTCCGTTCTGGTTCGGGGTTCAGAAGGGGCATGGGGCGACAAGTGCGGGCGTGCGCTCCCAGCGGATGGATGGCCGACGATCACCGGCAGGTTTTGTCGAAAGTCGGCTCCTTCAATTCAGTTCCGTCAGCTACGTTCGCTCGGGTGACTCGCGACAGACATCACGAAGGGAACGAGGTTTGTTCTGAAGATAGAGGAAATCCAAACACGAGTCTGATTTCGTGGACACGCTCGTGCGTTGGCGAAACGCATACATATGTACATGTGTTGGAATTGCTGACTGCAGCCACAACCCAGTGTTCAGTATCAAGTGCGCAGGTGAAAGTGTATGCCCCACTACCTTTGAACGTCCAAGGGCGACATTGACGACAGTAGCTATTGCTGTCGCTGCGGCGGCGTTGGTGTTGGCGACTACGACGACCGCTCCTACGGCGATGCCGTGACAACACGGAACGGGGACATCTGTAGCAGTCTGGCGAAAAAGAACGGACCAACCAACCAGCGTGGCTTGAAGAGCGGCTCCAGATCACTTCGGAGGGCAGCTGCATTGGACATCACTGGCTTACTTGTCCGTTCGTTCGTCGCTCGCTTACTTGCTTGCTTTACATTTGAAAGGACGTTTCGACGTGAAGTCGTCCGCATCGCTTTGTTTCCTACGGGCGGATACCGAAGGTTGGCTTGAAAAGAGCAACGCGTCGCGACCGCGGCTTCGTGTCGCACATAGAATTGTCCGAGTCTTCGCCCTCTCTTTCAGAGCGGGAAAATCGGTATTCGGCGACAATTATTTGAAAGAAATATCCAAGCGAGGATATCATCCCGATCGGCTCGGGAAGATGGAATGTCCCGGATGATAATGAAAAGAATAAAGCAGAGGAAAGAAAGCGAAGCAAAATCGCCCGGACGGAGGTATTTTTCTGCCAATCCCTTCTGTCTTTCAAATCTCGAAACAAATCTCCCTTCTGCCGCCGCGGCGAAGAACAACCCCTTCTCACCAAACTGGATCCGAGGAAGGCGAAGCGAGACGCCGCGATACATGTGCGAGAATGAAAATGCGGCTCCGCTGGCGAAACTTCTTCTGCGCGTCGCAAGCTTCTGCTCATAATTTTTGCATTTTCGGCGGTTTGTTTTCATTAGCAGTCATTTGCCGAGTTTGTTTTGTTCCTCCCGGACAAAGCAGGGAGCCGAGTTTTTGCAAAGGGTAGATTTTCACGGCGCGACTGCCAATGAATTTCACCGCCTGGAAGCATAAGCTTCACGCCGAACGAAGCGCCGACTGGCGAGGCTCATTCTACAGAAGCCGGAGAATTCCGAAACAATGAGGCCAAGATTCGGCGTTTCCGGCGTCCGGACGCTCATTCTCGCCACTGAACAAAAAATGAAACTCTGACCGCCATTCAGGCGAGCTACCTCGCTGTCGAACACTTTTCTTTCATCACTAAGACTATCCATCATTCATTCAGTTTCCATTCGTTAACGACATGTTTTTCCTCCAATCCCGGATCCTCTCGGAAAAATCTCATCATTCCTCCTCCTCTCCGAACTCATCGCGGCGAGCCGGCAGGGATTCCAACATCCTCCTGAGAGTGCTCTGGCTCAAAAGTTTCGGAAATTCACAAGGGAAAAATAGAGGGATATTTCCTCGATGCTTCAGTTTCTCATCACCTCATTGTTATGTACCACCCGTCATAATAATTCCCAAGTCGGGCTCATGGGCTGTACCTGTCGTCCCGCTCACTCGGTCGGTCAGCCAATCGCGAATGCGGTTCGAGCGTTCGAATGGTGGCATTTTTTTTACGACCTTAGCGTAGTTTCGACTTTCCTCTATCTGGCCTCAGCTCGCGTCCATCGAACAGGGAAACAACTCTCGTCAACCGCGGTCGTGGACGCTGCTGCTGACTTTTCTTCTAATAAATCAACAAAAGGCAGAAAAATCTGAAATCCAGGAAGTGTCTCAAAGGCACCGAGGGCTATTTGAGAAAAGCGTTTATTGCGCCGCCCGAGCATGCGGTTTCGAATGAGATTGCGCCCTACGATCCTCGGAACTCGAGAAAAAAAACACTCGGGAGCTTGAGGAGAGCTCGAACCAGCGCGTTCGGGCTCCAAAGTGCACTCCGGTCTCATGCCTCAGATCATGGACGACCCGAATTTCGCTGGAAACGGATTCGGGGGCTTTTTGATACACCGATACACGACTTTATATCAAACAAATGAAGTCTGAGCGCTTCCTCCAAGAAACTTCACCTGTGCGTTCGGGTGGTTGAATGGATCTTTGTCTCACTCAGTCAGTCTCTTTCAATCAAGTAACCGAACAGTTTGAAGAATAACTGTGACCATGTAGTCTTGTTACGAGCGCCGCCTCATTCAGATCTCAATGTATGTGTCAAACCGAGATAATGGCGCCAATTACGTCTAATTATCGCTCACACGTTTTAAGCAATGCACACCTGACACGCTCAGTGGTCTCCCGGAGGAACGTGCCTGAGATGTCAACTATCAACACTGCAATCGTGACGAGCTATCCTGCTGATCTGAGGAAGTCCGACGAATTCTCTTTATGTCGCTATTTTCTCGTCAATTGAGAAGGACGCTGAGAGAGCATCGGAGTGATGAACGTATCCAAGTTGGGAGATTCTGAGGAGAGCACTGATGGCGAGGAGCCCATCTCTCGAAAAGCCAAGAAGTACTATGAGAGATCACGCGTCATCCGAGAACGTATGAAGGTTCTTCGGTCGGCCGAGGGCACGATGGTATTTCCGGTGGGGTTGCGGCCGGAGGAGCTCACCAAAAACTCCGCACTTTCCGACTTGGGCGACTCGATCTCGTCGACCGGGAAGATCCTCAGGACGCGAGAGCTTCCGATCACCGCGGATCTCCGACCGCCAAATTTCGGAATGAAGCGAATGGGTTTGAAATGTCCTGCTATCGTCCCTCCCGATCAATTCATCACCTGAGTACGAAATCGTTGAATGGAGGGACATTTGTCCGGCGGATCAGTTGCGCAGTTGAGATCGCAAAGCTTCGTAAGCGAGCGACCGCGCGTCGACCGAAGACAAAGGGCTGAATGAAGCGAAAGACGTTTGACTCGTCATCTGCCTCGGACCCGAGTCGACCGTTTCGAAGACGCCAAGGCTTCATGTTTCACAGGTGGCTGACTTTGAGGCCTTCAGAATCATCTGCCCGCGTGGCGCGTGGTGTCCAGACTCCTCTTTTGAATGCCGTCCATCCGTCGCCCGCCCGCCCGCCTGCCCGTTCGTTGGCCTGAAGGCCTACGTTACGGGCTTCACAGACACACTTCGACAGTTCAACGACGTACCGAACGCGGTTTCGATGCATTTCGGACCACGGC